GGGGGGGGGGGCGAGATTGTTGATATGTGGGGTTCATTACTGGGCTGTGTGAAACACACCCAGTTTTAACTGGCTTCAAAATAAACGCTACAGTTGTGAAAACAATCCGTATTGTCAGCGTATGCTTGCATCAAATCCTGCGTCATCGCCCGTGCAAATGGCCTGCTATGTTTTGTGGAAAATTAACCCGTGGCCCATTCGACTTCTCCTGTCTCTTTGCCACCCAGATTCACACTTCTTCACAGCGGCCGGTAAGGCTGCCCTGTCCCCTCCCCATCTCCGTCCCCGTGCCATCCCCATCTCCGTCCCCGTGCCATCCCCATTCCCATCCCCATCCCCATCCCCATCCCCATCATCATCTCCACCCACGTCCCCGTCCCCGTCCCCGTCTCCGTCCCTATCCCTACCGCTATCCCTATCCCTGGTGGCGGCCCCGGTCCGACCGGCGGCGCCAGCGCAGCGGCGGCCGCCGTCGCTGTCCGCCCGTGACCTTGCCGGCCGCCCGATGTGTGCCATGGAGCGGCCGCCTGACGAACCGGTTCTGCCCGGACTCGAACCGCACGTGAGGCTCCGAGCCGGGTCGGCGCCGCGCCGGCGGCGCCGCCGGGTCAGGGGGCCGGCCGACAGTGACCTGCCGGTCTGAAGGAACCCCCGGACAGCGGCGCGGGGCGCCCGGCGCGGGCCGCTCGGCGGCAATTGGTCGGCGTCGCAAGTGTTGGGCGTGACGTCACGGCTCGCCACCGTGATTCATCGGGCCGTCGCGCTCGGTGCGATGGGCGGCGCCGCCGCGCGCCGGCTCGGTGCAGGCTGGCTGGCGCGCGCGCGGCCGCTGCAGGAGCCCGGCGCGCGGCCGTCAAGTGGGTTTGGAGGGCGGCCCTGACCGGCGGCGGCCGCGGCGAGACGCGCTGGCCAGCGGCGCGACAGCCACCCGTCACTCGTCCTCAGTTTGAGGAGTCGCGCCGTCGGGGGTCGGAGGTCGGAGGTCGGACACTCCCCGGCGGAGGCGCCTCGTTATCGGAGAACGCTCTTTGACGAAGGCGCTTGTTACTGGAGAACGTTCTCCGGCGGAGACGTTGCGTTATTTAAGAACGTTCTCCGGCAGAGACGTTGCGTTATCGGAGAACGTTTTGCGGCGAAGACGCCTCGTTTCAGAGAGCAGTTATGCCTGGCTATGTGATAGGCTTCCCTGGCAAGCTCCGCCGACAGGGGGACGACGGGACGGCGTCTAGGAACCGTCGGTCCCGTTGTTGCCCAGGAGCGTGCCGACGGGCCGGTCGGCTAGCCACTGGACCTCGCTCCCTCCGACGCGTGCCGCGAGCAGTGGCCGGGGCGCCTGTTCCGTGCAGCTGCTGTCAGTTGGCAGCGGGCGGATGAAGCCCGGCCGGGCCGACAGGCCGCCGCGCCGCCTTTGTCAGCGGCGGCGACTCAGCAGGAGCGGGCCGGCGCTGTGGCCGTAAGCGGCCGGCTCTGCGGCGGAGCACGTCCGTCAGACCGTCACGCGGGTGCCGCCGGCCGGCCCGACCGGCGGCCGGCGCCGGCCCGGGTGGGGGTCCAGACTGTTTCGGTCCGTCGCTGGGTATTCGGGACCGGCAGCGGTGTGGAGGCGCGGCGGGAATCGCCGCCGGAGATGAGGAGGTGATTTGGTAATGGCTGACGCGTGGCTGATGCGCCTGCATTGCACGAAGCTTTGAGCAGTGCTGTGAATGTAATCCGTGCGTGGTGAACGCGGCCGCCTCACCAGGCCGCTGTTGGCTCGCCGGCGGCCGGTCGGGCCGTGCCACTGACCACGCTCTCCCCGTTCCAGGTGCTGCCGCGCTGCCCCGCGAACGGCCCCGCCGGCCGACCAGACCGGACCAGTCGGCGGCGCCCAGCCGTCAGCACCGGCACGCGAGTCGCCGTTTCATATCGTGACGAAGCCTTGTTGTCTGGCGGCGGGGCGGCCCGGTGCGGCCGCCTGAGCCGGGAGGGCCGACCGGACCTGACCGGACCCCAGCCCCGCCGAACTGCGTGTGTTGGGCGCCGCCCCGTGTTTGTACGCCGCGTGGAGCGCTGCGACAGTGATGTTACTTTTGACGGAGAGATTTATCGTGTGACTGTTTGTAATCCCGCACCGCCCGCCGGGCGGCGCGCGCGCGCAGCGGCCTCGTCCCGTGTCCCTGGGGCTCGGCCGGCCGGTTGCCATATGTCGCCGCGGCGCGGCGCTGCGGTCGGTCAGCCGCGAGGTCGGGCCGCCGCCGCCGCCGCCGCTGCCCCCCTCCCGTCTGTGATCCGACGGCCGGCAATACCAGCGTCTGCTCAAAGGCGGCACGTGACGGCCGCCGCGCGCCCGGCCGTCCTCCGCCCTCGAACGTGCCTGCGGTGGAGCCGCGCGCCGACGGCCCGCCGCGCCGGTCAACGCCACTGAGCTAACGCTGCTGGGACGCGCCACGCCAGAGTGTGGCCGCCTGGTGCTATGTTAACACGCCGGTTGGTTAACCCGTTGTCGACGTGCGTGGAGATTTGTAGACTTTGCTATATTATTTTTGTATACAGCGTACATTGCGGGCTGTATCGGAATCATTTTTAAGACGATCCTGTTCTGTGCGCATGCCGGGGCTCTGTAATACACGTAAATTTTCGCGTACGTGTTGTGACGTCTCCGCGCTTGCCTGTCGGCCGTGTTTTGGCGCAGATGGCGCGGTCGCCGTCCGCTGAACGGACGCGGACTTGCTCGGTGCCGTCCGCCGCTGGGCGGATGGGCATCGGACGGATTTGAGAGCTCGGCGTCCGCCCGGCGCGCTCTCAGGCTAAAGCGATGTGGCCTTGAAGTCAATGGTGCAAGCAATCGCCCGAGAAAGCATCTCTCACGCAAGCGGGGCAGGCGGGCCGCGGCCGGGATCGGGCTGCGGCACTGGATCTGCGGGGCGAGGCAGGCGGGCCGCGGCTGAGATCGGGCCGCGGCACTGGATCTGCGGGGCGAGGCAGGCGGGCCGCGGCACTGGATCTGCGGGGCGAGGCAGGCGGGCCGCGGCTGGATGGGGCCGCGGCACTGGATCTGCGGGGCGAGGCAGGCGGGCCGCGGCTGAGATCGGGCCGCGGCACTGGATCTGCGGGGCGAGGCAGGCGGCCGGCGACTGAGATCGGGCCGCGGCACTGGATCTGCGGGGCGAGGCAGGTGGCCGGCGACTGAGATCGGGCCGCGGCACTGGATCTGCGGGGCGAGGCAGGCGGGCTGCGACTGAGATCGGGCCGCGGCACTGTACCGGCGGAGCGAGCCGCGAGGCAGGGCGCGTGAAACGGCACTGGCGTGCTAAAATACGCCTGCAAGGGACGTTTCAATGGGCGGCACATGGACAAAACGAACGGGTATAGATGTTCGTCTGCGCTGTGCCCAGGGTTTCACAGCTTTTGGTTCGGGGGCTGGGGTCCCCCGTACCGGATAATTTAGTTATTAGTCGCATGACGCTGCATTCAGCAGCTTCGGGAAGCCCGCATCATATTTGAAAAACGACACCCCCTGTTAGCTTCTCAGATGCAGTCGCATGGGTTCAATGGCCCTGCCGCCGGGTCGTTCATGAATGCTGCTGACCGGACCTACACTCATATAATCTCCCTGCTACCCATCCATGCAATGCCAGTGCGGCAGCGGACATAATGACCCCACATGAGTGTCAAAGACCCTATGCACCCACTCCGAGGAGCGGGCGGACGGCTGAACGCGCTGATTCACTATTCAGCCCATCTGTCTTGAGGTCACAACACCGAGATGACGCGCGTGTTGTTCGGGAAAGGGCCGCAAAACATGAAAGCCACAAAATGAAAGCACGAAAATGTCAGCGCTAGGTTATGAGGCATGGACAAACGTATATTCCGGACTAGACCACATCAGTCAGAACGAGTCATATGAATCAACTACTGCCCGCAGCTCGCGTAGCGGATTGGTATGCGGCTGCTTACATGACCAAGAGACCTGCGGCCTACACTATCCAGGTGCACAACACACGTGTGCTCGCATGGTGTAACTCAGTGCGGACCATTCGAGCTCGAGTGACAGGCGTGTCGTGCAGATCTCGCCACCCTCTGCGATTTGTACTGCGGGCCTGGTCCGCGCCCTCCCACTGGGCTCTGCGGTAGCGCGCTGGTAGCATTTGCCCTAAGCCTTTCCATGCGCATAAATACTGCCGTGCTACCGCCGGCACCGAATCAGACACTCACCGCGAGTGCCCAGGCACCCACTCCGGGTGCTCAGACACTCACCCCGAGTGCCCAGACACTCGCCCGAGTGCTCAGGCACTCACCCGAGTGCCCAGACACTCACCCGAGTGCTCAGGCACTTACCAGAGTGCTCAGGCACTTACCACGAGTGCTCTGGCACTCACTCAGGCGACGCATTTTCTGCCATCGACCCAGGAATGTTCGCTTTTGGGCCTCCATATCGGGCTGGGGGCAGACGGGTGGCGTCACGTTTCAAGAAGCCCAATATGATCCAGTAGCTACGTGACACTCTTCGATGTAAACCAAATGATAAAGCCCCCCATGCTGACTTAACAGAGGGCTGAAATTCTCTGCTCACGGAAGCTGATTAATCTGATGACTAAGTACCACCCACGCCAACCCTTGCAGGGTGTCTCTCGGATCAATCTGCTCGTTTCTTTCAAAGTTTGGGATATGCAGGATCTGCATCAGCCGTTTCTCCACGCCAGATTCCCTCCGTACATCTCAGACACGCCGTCAAAACTTGGCCATCAGCGAGACGGCAGCGCAACACTTCTGAAGGAAAACTGCAGCCACCGTGCGTGCGCAAAAAACCCGCGCCACTGCGCGCCGCTCCGGCCGCGGCCGGCCAGTGCCGCGCCGAGCCGCTGGCTGGGGCGGGCCGCGCCGTTTCGGTCGCGACCGAGGACGGCCAGTGCCGCGCCGGGCCGCTGGCTGGGGCGGGCCGCAGGTCTGCGGCTGCCGACGTCATGACCGCGACACCCCGCTGCGCGCAGCGCGCAGGGTCACAGTCGGCTGGCGGCGATGCGTGGTGTATTGGCACCAAGCGTGTCACCCGAGGCGATCCCGCGGCGGGGAGCCTCCGTCAGCCGCAGAGCCGACCGGCGCGCCATACAACACGCGCTCAAACTGTACCAGACCCGCGCGATAGGGGATGCCGCACGCCGCGTGAGTCACGCCGCGCCCGATGACAGCTAGACAGCGAACGTTTTTCGGAGCCCGCCTTCGCTGCACGTGCTTACCACGTGCGCGCGTGAAGTACACAACACGTGTCCGCGACCGCACGCAAACAGTAAAACAGCTGACTCAGCGCAGTTGGAGCGCCAGGTCAGCCAGCGAGGATCGCTAAAACAGGCGCTCTTCACCACGAAGCCTCCGGTGGCGTCTCCTTGACACCGGTCTGCAGTTTATAGCACCGGACACCACGCGACTACTTCTTGCTCAGCTTGTTGCTGATCATCTCTCGGAACTGTCCCAGGATTTTGTTTTCGCGTTTCTGTCGCTCTTCTTTGTTGAACATCTGCAGCGCGCGTTTCTCATCCGCCGAGTAGATCTGGTTCTCCTTGCGCATGCGCACAGCCTCCATGCGGCGATGCCTGCAAATGCCAGTGCATGGTATGAGTTGTAGGTGTCAGCACGAGCAAAATACAGGTGCTCGGGGCCGGAGGGGCCCTGACGGTGGGGAAGTTAGGCAAACTCATGCATCGGCACAAATCGCCAGTCCCTCAAAATGATACGGAACGTAACTGCACTGACGCCCGTCACGCGCGCATCCCTGCCAATTTGAGAGACCCGCACAATGCGCACCGCCTGAACTACGTGCACTAGATCCCAAGGTCCCAGTTTATCTCAACTACGTCACCGGAGCCCAGGGCGGTACGTCACGTGAATAGGGGACTCGCTAATAATAAACTGATTACGCAGAGATGCAGACATCTCATTTCTCGTGACAAATATTTGCAATACACAATTCCATACACATGTACACAAAGGGACTCACTGATAATGAACTGATTATGCAGAGAGGCAGACATCTCATTTCTCGTGACAAATATTTGCAATACACAACTTGATACACATATACACAAGTAACAGTGGCGATCAGCAAAAGCCCATTGGAAGTAGATTACAGAACCAAGGCTGAGGCACTGGACATGAAAGAAGAGCCCGTAAAAAAACTGGCCAACAGATTGTCTAGTGACTCGGAGTTTTGAGTGAGCCCCCTTTTCAATTTACTGACTCCACGACTGTCAGTAACCTGTCAGTCAGTCAGTAAACTGTCAGTAACTGTTAGGATTCCACGACTGTCAGTAACCGGTAAACTGACGACAGCTTCTGCGGTCCCGTGATACGTAGATTATGCATTCTGACACACTGCTCCTCAAAGAAAATCGCCGATTCATTCACCTTCCATTCTGCCCCTGGCACATCACTGACAGGGGCCGACCGCCCGACCACGGCCTCACGCCGACCGGGGGTAACACTGCCGCCCTGCCCCAGCGCCGGCCGTCAGCCATCAGCCAGCGGCCGGGCGGGCGGCGTCGGCCGTCACGCACCTGCTGCCGCTCATGACGTAGCCCTTGGCCTCGAACGAGGCGATCTCGTCGCTAGTCAGGCCGATCTCGCCGCGCCGCGGGATGCGCTTGCCGTCCGCCACGAACGCCGCCATCGCCGCACCTGCGCCGAAGATCGCCGCGCGTCAGGCGGGCTGCCGTGCCGAGGCCGGGCCCCGTACAACACAGGCCGCCAGGGGTGCGCCACAAGCTGGGGCGCACGGTTACGCGAGGACACGCCATGCAGCCCGGGATGTTGGGGTATTGCCTGGTGCTATGTGCACGTATTCAGATATGACAGGTGTTTCAGGACAGGGAGGGCGACGCGCTGTGGCAAGAGATACGATCAGCACTGCGTTCTCAGCCTGTTTTGGTGCATGGAATATACTTGTGGAAGTATGAATGAGCCTAATAAATGTGACAGCGCCTTACATTGGAATATTCTGCATGTGGATTGCAGCTCTGAAATTATTTTCATTGATCGTGTTCGTTATTTAACGCACGATGCAGCCCTACCATCTGGTCCACAGCCAACACAAAAATTTACTTCTTTGCCAAAATCCCGCTGAAATGATCGGGAGTTTTACACTTAACGCCATATTTCACCCTACCTTTCAGAGAAAAGGCCAACGATATACCTATCTAACCAGAGAAAGTTGAAGCCAGTGCCTCACTGTAAAAGGGAATGCTCCCAACGCATGTCCACCCCTCTAGAAAACGGCAAGAAGGGCCGTCATCAATTGAGATGTGACATTGCTTCTTGCGTACCAATAGTGCGTATCACGTCAGCGACGGGCCGCAAGCATGATTTGTGTCTAACGTTAACACGATACCGCCACCCCATAAATCACAGCACACGATAAAAACTACTCTTTCATACGCCTGAAGCAGCCGCAGCGTCCCCGGCCGTGTCCGCCGTCTCCCCGCCCTCAGCCCGTCGCACCGTCTCAGGACGCACCTTCGCCGGGCAACAAGGCCTGGCCCATCTCCTTCCTTGAGAGCTGCACCTTCTCCTTGGGCATCGGACCGAACGAGTCGTCGCCGTCGACGCCGAGGCCGTCCGGGCCAGCGATGGACGCTGCGGGAACAGAGCGTCAGACGACACACAGTCGGGGCATGACCATCCAAAGACGGAAACCAGGGCACAGCTGCGAGACGTGCCGCTCGTGCGGCATGACGGGAAACCAGCTGAGAGGACCGAGCGTCAGACGACACCTGCGCTTAAATAACGGCCGTTGCGTTTGCAGGGGTAGTGTCATTGCGATACACATAACACAGTTCATTAGGAAGACATAAGTGGAAGTGACAGCCAACGTTCCCATATAGGAACGAAGCACGCATACTAAGGAGCGCGCTCTCTGGGCATATTCAATCATGACTTTGCCCATACCTCCCTTCTCCATCCACTGCTCTTCTTCGTCTTCTAATTCGCTGGACGAAGACGAAACCTTCTTCTTTTTCTTCTTTCGCTTCTTCTTCTTTTTCTTATCTTTTTTGCTCTTTTTCTCCTTCTTGGCCTTTTTCTTTTTCTTTATTTCCGCTTCGTCGGCCGACGAGACAGACTCCCGCTGCGGCTTCGGGCTGGCCAGGTCGGAGCTGAGGAACAACACAATACCCTGAGGCGACCGGCACAAAAACTCTGGCAGCTCAAATGCAAGTCTTTTTTGTACAAAATCACTAAGAAAACACGGCGAGTTGCGGACAACAACAAATAACAACCCGCGATAGGCTGTTAGGCACACACATCATTCACGAGCGCACACACAATACACACAATAATTCTGTAATGTAACGCAGCCTTCCCATGATGCTGTGATGGCATTAGAAATAAGACACCACGTGGCTTTAAACGGCGGGGCGACGTCATTCTTCAATGTTGTGTTATGTAAGATCAGTAAAATCCAGCCCAGCACAGCATCACAGGGACGCGTTAGCATGCTTTCGAAAACACACTTTGCACAAAAACTGTTTGGAGCAATAGCATCGCACCGATACGACGCCATCATTGCAAAGAGAATCAACCTGAAGGCCTACGGAAGTGGTGGAAGGCTCCCGCCAACCAGATGCATCATGTACCGACGCCCTTGTTGAGGGTTTGCGGGGCTGCTCGAGCGGAGCTCCGGCCCGGGAAGACGTGAGCCGGCTGGTAGCTGACGGCCACAGCTGGCTTCAGCATACGGGCCACTGCGAGGATTTAGGATCAAGCAGTAGTGAGACAAGCAGGGCGGGTCACCTGTGCCACGCCGACCCTGCACACCAGTACTCACTCGTCGGCGCCGTCTTCCCTGGGTGGGGAGTGGCTCCACACCTCAGGGACACCCTGCTCGCTGATCCTGATGCGCTGCTCGCGCCGCTCCGACGCGAAGTCCTCGTGCTGCGGCGCGTCCCGGCCGCTGTGCCGGTCCACACGCGGTCCCCAGCTCCAGCCACCGGCAGCCGGCGACGGGCCGCGGTCCTCTCGGTGCTGCCACCTGGCGTCCTGGATCGAATGTTTCGCCTCGGCCGGCCGCCGCCTGGCGTGCCGCTCGTCCTCAGCCGGGCTGCGCTCGCGGCGCCGTGGCTCCGGCCGCGCGTGCTCGTCGCGCCGGTGCGGCGAGCGGTCGCGGCCGTCGCGCCGCCTGTGGTGCGCGCCGGTGCTGTCGAACTCGTCCGGGTGCCGTCGCTCGCGGGACCGGGTGCGTCGCGGCGCCGCGCGCGCGCTCCTCTCGCGGGAGCCGCTCCGGTGCCGGCCCCTCACGCGCTCGCCCTGGCCGGCCGCGTCCCTGCGCCACTTGTCACCGCGATCACTGCGCTCAGCTCGCTCGCCACGGTCACCGCGCTCAGCACGTTCGCGATCACTGCGCTCAGCTCGTTCGCGATCACTGCGCTCAGCTCGGTCCCCTCGTTCGTTCCTCTCGCCGCGGTCGCTGCGGCCACCGCGCTCGCTACGCTCACCGCGGTGCGAGCCGGCTCGGTGCGACGGCCGTTCGTCCCTGTTCCTGTCCCTCTGCTCATCCCTGGTGCCCTGGCTGTGGCGCCGATGGCCGCTGCGGTTGCCTCCCGCGAGCCGGCGCGGCGACCGCGCGCGTCCGGCTCACGCGAGCCGCTGCACCGGTCGCGGCGCGCGCGCGCGCCGGGCGAGGGTGCTCGCCGTGGTGACGGCCGCCGCGCGGCGCCACTGTCGCGGCGGCGCTTAGACCTCCGCTCGACAGACGAGTCTGAGTCGGAGTCGGAGTCGACCGAGCGCGGGCGGCGGGCGGCGCTGGCAGGCGGCGGACGCGATGGGCCCTTGCGGGATGGTGATGGTGAGCGACTGGAGTCAGAGTCAGAGTCAGAGTCACTGCTGCCAGAGCTGGGGGCTGGCATTGTGCCTCCTGCAAGAAAAGAGTGGGAAGTCAGCCAAAGCACATCAGAAAATGCAACTTTCTTATTAGCTTTAATTTAGTAAAGCCAGACCACAAAGTTCACCAGCTCCAGCACCAGTTGGTACTAGATACCAGTCAACATGCCTGGAGACACCAGAACACACTGTTTGCAAGCATCTGTCCTACAAGACCTGTTGGAGGGATGAATGGGGAGAGGGGGAGTTCAGGCTATTGCTGGGCATGGGTTAAAGTGGCAATCATATCAGGTGATAGCATTTCAATGCACATTACTGGGCTTTACCATTGCAGCAATATTTTGCACTTTTGTTAGGGTATAAGGCTGTGATGATGGCACAGTGCAGCAAAATGAATATCAGTGATACCACTGTTAAGTTATCAACAAGAGCATCAAAGAAATAATGTCTAGATAAGTGCAGAAAAAATGGGTATGCTGCTTGGCAACAAACTGGTATATGGGGGTCAGATTGAGTTATGGGATAGCAATTCTTATGTAAGGTTCACATATAATTTTTGGCATCCTTTCCAACATAAGCTTTCAATTACTCATTGGATGGCAGTGTTTAGCACTTGAAGCCTAGTCCTGAACTCAGGTTGCAATCACTCTGAATCAGGAAAAAATTCTAGATTTTGGAAGTTTTTTCTTTAAGCTTATTGCATATCATACTGGAGATGGGACAAAGTTATATAATCTAGTGGCCAATTCACTACATGTCCTGTTTTTTGAACCAACAATCTACTATGACAGCCTAAAATGATAATGAACTTGACTGATCATGTATAAATGATGATACTCATGGTTTTTAAGCCTGCCCATTAGACATAAATGGTTCTAAAATGCATAGCAAGATGTTGTAGCTTTATAATAGTTTAATTGACAAATCCTATCCTATAATGATGGAAACCTACAAGCTAAAGGGCAAAATCTTTTAGTACAGTTCTCTAGATTATATACCAGATTATAATGCATGAATATCAGGAAAGAGTTGGGTGCTGTTTCATAGTGTTTCACATGTCAGGTGTCATAAAGCCCTTGTGTCTCACATCCAATTTATTTTCTCATTTCCCTGGCATCCTTGTAGTAAGAAATGTACAAAGCACTCAATAAAATATTCCACTTAAGTATGCAATCAGTCTCATGTAATCACCAGTGAAAAAACCAAATGTATAGTTAAGAATAAGGATCAATTCACCTGCAAGAAAGATTGTATCTGTTCTCACACATATGTTCATAATTCTGGCAACCTGCAGCGAAGCTAGATTATTACATTGCATGCCTTATGAAAATAATGGAGCAAGTTATAACCTTGAAGCAAAAAAAAACATGAAAAAAACAAAAGACATCATGTCTACAACATTTTGACAGCTAAATATCATACATACGCTACAAAAAGATCTAAATGACAAAGTAAGCAGGATTTCTGAAACCCAGCACACAACCAACATAGAATTGGCTTACCCAGGAAATTTACCTTCGGTGCCTGGCCTTGCCACGCTTCACAAAAAATTAGAGAAACGGACGTGATTTGTAATCAATCCATTAAATTTGCTGCGTTCTTCAAGTCCACGCAAGAACCCACACCGCAACCTAACGTTCGCTTCTCAATTGTGGTCAACACCGCGATTAGCAAGCCGAAATCGTTGCTGGTCACAAATACGGCGCGGATGAGACGACAACATATCAGCTGACGACTATTCAATTTGCCGCTACATTAAAATAATTTGCAAAAGAATCCTTTATTTGGTAGCTCATTGTCCAAAAACAATTTGGCGCGAAATGGTGAAGCATTTGGCGCGAGAAGCGATACGGTTTTTGCGGACGCTCAGATCGCTTTTGGCGGGGTTTTTGAGGCTTTGCGCCGCAATCCCAAGTTTATCGCGGCATTTTAGCCTGGTTATTGGAAACATTCCATCACTTTGATCCTTGCCGAAGTCGTGAAATATGTCGGAATCAATTGGTAAGTACTTCTTTATGGAATTTCTCGTCGAACATGCAGTGCAATGGAACTCTGGATGGGGGAGAGGCTTGCATGAATCGCACCCTGTTTCTTCCATGGGCCATAGGGCTATTGTATTTTTCTAGAAGCTTGCCAGAGGCTATTGCTTGCTGCTTGCGATGGCTGATACTTTTCCAGTATTTGTTAGCAAATTTTAAGCATGCATACCTTCAGAAATATGAGCTTTACTTATGTGGTGGGCATTTAATCCATTCTTGTTGGCCTCAGGCTATGACTTGAGCTTAATGTTATGCTGAATGATGCAGGTATTACAGTGCTTACCAGCTTCTGTAAATATTGGTCTATTTTTTGTTTGAAGACATCTGAGTGAAGCACATTCTCAGTTAGAAGCTGCGAAGCACTCCAAGACATGTTCTGTAGGTTCCTGCTTTCCTGGTCATTTTTAAAGCAGGTTTTTGTTTGACATTGCATTTTAATGAGATTTGGGTAACCAACCAAAGATCATTTACTGCAGTAAAAAAGTTTTAAAAATGTGTTTTGCTCTGTATGTGCAGCACACCCTGCATGCTCATGTTTACATAGAACTGAGTTGAGGCACTTGGTCATTGAGAATGTGCCTCCATTTTCTATTTATTAGCCTATAGTTCTGTATAGAATGAGCATGTTCTGTATGTCAGTTGTCTTTTTCAGAACATTTGGGGTTAGCTTTGCATTTAAATTGTGTTGTTTTAATTGCATTTCATGAATTACAACAATGCCTTTATTTTTCCTGCTGCTTGCAACCTATGTCACTTCCTCATCTCTGGATATCAAACACAGAATTTCCAGTTGCTGATCTCAGCTCACCACTGACACAGATATGGTAAATGGAAAATATGACCAATAACATGCCACCCCTACACAATGTGATGACATCCACCACCTGACCTTGCCTCACCCAGCAAACACTGCAGGCCCCCACATGAGCCCCAGTGCTGACTGGGGCCTGCCCTGACTTGGCAGGTGATGCTGGGCTGGCGTCGGGCCGGTCGCGGCGGCAGCGGCGAGAGAACACCGGCCGCTCGGCAGCGCTGGACAAGATCAGGCGTGGCCAGAAGAACAAGTGTGAGGTGACAGAGGCGGCCGACAGCGTGTACGACATGGTGGACGAGCGCGAGTACTCGCGCCGCGTACAGGAGCGGCTCGAGGACGACTGGATCGTTGATGATGGTGGGTGTCGCTGTCGGCTTGCGAGGCGGGTCTCGCGGCTATTTTGTGCTAATGTCGTCAGAGAGCGATGAGGGACGTAGCAAACAGGATGTGGAGTAGGTGATGCAAAGTGGCACCTGATAGCACATGTTGATAAGGGTTAATATGTGGAGGGGAATAATAAAGGGAATGTGGCAGTAGGAAATGCCATAAGTGCACTGAACCTGCTGAAAAATGTGCAATGATAAATTCATATTAACCTGTGTAAGAATAACTTCCTCAAAGTCATAAATGACTTGCTTCAGAGAAGAATCATACCCTGCCTGAGTGGATAACAGATTCCCTTTGGTCACACTGAAACAGTCTGAATCATGAGCTGTAAAGGAAATTCCTTACGACGTTTTTACGCCTACTGAATGGTGGCTGCAGCAGACAAGCAGATGGTGGCGCCCTCACCGGGTCCCGGTGCAAACGAATCGATGCGTCATCACGGCTGTCCATGCCTGTGCAGGCGGCGGCGACGGCTACGTTGAGGACGGCCGCGAGATATTCGATGACGACATCGTGGACGACGGAGCCAGCGACGCAGCCAAGGCCAAGCGCAAGTCCAACAGTCGGGTGCGTGACCCGGCGCAGCCCAAGAAGAGCAACATCCGCGACATGCTTCTCAGCATGCCCAGCAAGAAGGTGAGGGCGGTATGCGCGCAGCGGTGGCTGGCGTGGGGCCGGACCGCCGTCCTGCGATTAGATGAAGATGCCACATGCTGGTGTGGCCTGCCAGGAGTAGGCGGTGCATTATGTGCAGCCGTCTCAGCGAACGCTGTTCTAGTGTCAGCTGCAGACGTGTGTTTGGACGAGTAGAGGGCATCGGTAGCAATTTGGGTGGGGAGCGGAGGGGGGGGGGGGGGAGGAGGAGGAGGAGGAGGGGGACAACGTAAAGATGCTGCGTGCGTGTGAACGGAGGAGCAGCCCCAGCGTCATGCGCAGACCAGACCGCCTGTCATCCGCCTCGCCGCCGCTTTAACCTCGCGTCCTCACGCTCTTCATCCGTGCTGCAGAGCAAGCGTGACGTGAAGCTGGAGGAGGACGAGGACCTGCAAGGTATCCTGCAGGACATCAAGTCATCACCGGCCATCGGCGTGCGGCCGGCGCAGCTGAAGCGCAAGTCGACGCCCAGCGCGCCCCCGTACGGGACTCGGTATAGTGGGCGAGCGGGGTCGGGGCTGTGGACACCTGTGCAGTCTGCGAAGTGGTGGTTTTTATGACCCTTGTGACTCAGACGTGCTGTTATGGCTTAGCACTCATTCTGTTTTTTCTTACATGAGTGACGTGTGGGCGAGATCATGCATATTGGCTTTCAACACACTTGTAACACCTATGTAGGCGAAGGTCGATGATACCAGAACAGTTCCAAGCAGCCTCATGAATTTATGTCTGTCTCTGACGGTCTGTCAGACGGTCTGTTCTCTGACGGTTCTCTGACGGTCAGAGAAAGATGACTGGGATAGTGCGTGTTGTTCACTGCCAGCGCTGCTGCTTACCACTGACAACACGTCCGTGGTGCGTTGACCCTCGGTGCTCACCGCCGCCCTGGCTGTCGCAGGACGAAGAAGCTGCCGCTGGTCCCAGCGCCGCTCCGCGCGTCGACGACTCTGAAGACGACGCCCGTGGCTCGGGAGCCGCCGCCGCCGCGGGCGGACAGGCCGCGGCCCGGCGCACAGGTGAGCGCTGCGGGGTCCGGCGCCGGCCCGACCCCGGACCGGTCTGTGGCGTCCAGTCTGAGGCGGCGTCGGGAGGCTGGGGTCCTGCTGAGTGGCGCTGGAGTGCATTGTCACCGGTTGGGCTAAGCTGGTTTGGATACATGCGCGTTAGTGCATGGGAAAACGTGAACCCGAATGCTCTGGAGTTTGGGCCTACGCACTAGCACGGATCTGCTCATGTGACGTGCGGTGCCGGGCGTCAGTGCTGCCCCGGTCTCCGGCGCGCCGCTCATGACGCTCCTGTGCGGCAGCCGGCGACGAGCGAGCCGGCGTCGCAGCTGATCGAGGACGCGCCGGCCACGCAGGACATCGAGGCGGACAAGGTGAGCCCAGTGGGCAAGGAGCGTCCACAGCTCAGCTCGCTACAGAGCAATTTGTGCCGGCACGGTAAAAACACGTCACATGCTCGCGTTATGAAACTGCCGGCAGACAGCTAGGGAACGGAGATCAGGCAGCTGCGTTGTAGAACGGCTGTAACCATGTGCTGTTGCACGCCACGGTGCTGCTAGGCACGGAGATCGCCAGCCTGACACGGCTGGGCGCCTCAGGCCAGCTTTGTGGTGCACCGGTTGGTAGCCCGCTTTCGCGCCGTGGCCTGCGGGTCATGAGTTCAATGATCGCCTGAGGGCCTTCTGGTCATTGACGTGTCATGTAAACACGGCCGTGAAGTCCATTTGACGCAGCCGCGTGCGGGTAAGTAGTCTACGGGTCTGGGTCTGCCGGCCAGGGGACACCCGGTAAGGTGCGTCCCTCAGACAGCAGGGTCTGGAAGGGGGAGCACCACGGGAGCGTCGCCTTCCCCCGCGCCCCTCACAGTGGCGGCCTGTCGCCCCGCAGCGGGCCGAGCTGGAGGCGGTGGACGCGCTCATCCAGGACGACGACTCCATGTTCGAGAGCATCGACCTGCCGGAGGAGGAGCCGGAGCCTGCCGCGCCGACCGTCAAGGATGAGCCCCCGCAGTGAGTGGCGACCTCGGTTGGGGCGGCAGGTGCCAGGGGCGGGGTACGTCGCGTGGAGGAGAGAGGGTGTCGGGAGAAGATGCCTTGCGGGCTCGTGAGCGTGTGGCTCCGGCTCGTGTTGGGATCGGGTTTGCCTGATGATGCGGTATTGTATGTCGTTATGAAATAATGTGGTTTATAATATATGTTAGGGCTCCGACCGAAGGAGACGCGACGAGGTCGTAACCTCGCAACCCCGCTTCCATACATTTGAAACAGTAACATTTCATTCAGGGAAGTTCCTGGCACAAGACGTTTCGTGGCCATGTGCCATTGTCGGTTTCCATGACCAGCTTGGAAGGCGCTGGTACGCCCCGGCGCCATGCCCATCACACAGACTCGCGGCAGAGATGTCTTGTGACCCTTCGTGACACACTATTACGGAGCTGTCACGGTGACCGGGCAACAACACAAGACAGCTGTGCAACAGCCGGGACGACAGCTCTGACCGTGTGATAACATGCCGCGGTATGCAAAACATACCCTGCCGCGACCCTCCGGCGATCTCCTGGATATGTTGGCGTGACCCTGGCGACCTGACGCCGCAGGGAGCCGGCCGCCGAGGTGACCTCAGACTGGATGCGCACCGCGAGCCTCTGCGTGGAGCCGCCGCCCGCCGCCGACACCCTGGTGGGCGCGTCCTCACTGCCGCTGGTCACCAACGCCGACGGCGAACAGGTCGGCCCGACGGCATGGGCGCGTTCTCGGAGGCGGCCGGAGGACTGCCACGCTCGCCTGGATCGCGCGTGTTGCGGCAGCCGCCTCCGTGCCGTGCGTAGCACGATGGTGTTCGCGTCAGGTCGTGGTGATGTTTGCAGACGTCCACGCCGTCTGCGCTGTGTTAATGGAGCTGCTGTTGTGATCTACCCTTACTGCATTCCCGGTCATGCAGCCAACCTGTCTTCTGCCAGCCCCAGCCGCATGTGATCGCGCCAGTGACATCTCCTGCCCCGCGTCCGTCTTCCAGCCTGCCTGTCCGTGTCGCCACCCGCCTGTTCGTCCCCCGGCTCAACGGTCGCCTCTCTGTGCCAGGTGCTGCGGTTCTTCTGGCTGGACGCGTACTGCGACAACGCGGCCACCGGCAGTGTGGTGTACCTGTTCGGCCGGGTCTGGGTCGAGTCGGCCGGTGGCTACGTCTCCTGCTGTGTCCGCGTCAGCAACGTGCCGAGGCGCGTCTTCCTCCTGCCCAGAGCCAGGGTGAGTTGAGGGTCGGCGCTGCCCAGAGTCAGGGCAAGCTGAGGATTAGCGCTGCCCAGAGTCAGGGCAATCTGAGGGTTAGCGCTGCCCAGAATCAGGGCTAGCTGAGGGTTAACACTGCCCAGAATCAGGGCAAGCTGAGGGTTGGCGCTGCCCAGAGTCAGAGCAAGCTGAGGGTGAGTGCTGCCCAGAGTCAGGACAAGCTGAGTTAGTGCTGCCCAGAGTCAGAGTGAGCTGAGGGTTAGCACTGTCCAGAGCTTAGCTGAGCTGAAGGTGAGCTAGTGAACACTGTCCAGTCAGCGTGAGCGGTTCTGAATGTGTCCTCAGCCGCCGGATGAGCCGCGACATTGTTCGCTGACGGACTTCTGCCCTGTCGGCAGCGGCTGAACCCCAAGACGAGAGTCGAGGGAGACGAGATTACGATGAAGGATGTGTATGATGAGTTCAACTCCAGAGTGGCCAACCGGTTCAAGATCGCCGAGTTCCGCTCCAAGGTCTCCACCATGAACTACGCCTTCGAGAAGTTCGACGTGCCCAACCAGGCCGACTATCTGGAGGTCATGTACTCGGTATGTGCGAGCGTACATTCGCCCCAGACATTCGGTGGAATGCACTCGGGTGCATGGATGGTATGAAAGAAATGAGTCGGTCTCATTCCAGCTGTTTGAATACGGTTCCTTGTCAGCGAAGTTCGCAACGCTTTAGTGATGTGCGTGCTGTGAATGCATAATGCCTTTAATGAGTGGGACATGCATTTCTTTTCTTTATATCATTGTCGTGATGGCGACGAGGTATAACACACATATCAACCTTCGCGCTCATCTTGCTTTCTGCCCGTTATGTTGATCACATACGACAGCGCCTGGCCTCGGCCACCTGCTCCTGTCATCTATTGACTGTCAGCCCCTATTGTGGCCAGAGGTCATTTGCAGGGCTCTCCTGGGGTTTCGGGAGCAGAGAGAGAGAGAGAGAGAGCGATGGGTAGCACTGGCATCAGCTTTCCACTGCGCGTACATTTCACACGGCGGACTGTGTTTCAGTCGTCGTACAGCGCGCTGCCGCAGAACCTGGAGGGCGAAACGTTTAGCCACGTGTTCGGCACCAACACCAACACGCTGGAGGCCTTCCTCATCGGCAACAAGGTCAAGGGACCGTGCTGGCTGGAGGTCAAGAAGCCCACGATCCCTCAGCAGAAGCTCAGCTTTTGCACCATCGAGGTGAGTCTTACCGGCGTCGCTCGTCGCGAAAGCCACGGCTGCCGCATCCCGCACATGTTGCGGGCTTCAGCGGCTACAGCGCAGGGCAATGGAAAGATGCATAGTTGTCTCTCTGAGCTGCTTCGTCTGCTGCTGTGTGTAGTGGCAGTGGCCCGACTGAGCTGCTTCTTCGGCTGCGGTATGTAATGGCGCCGTGTGCGGCGGCTTGCCAGGTAGCCGCGCTCCGACCGGTCGGGCTCCCACCGTCCGATGCCTCCCGCCGTCATCCGCCTGTCACGTGACGTGCCTGCTGCTACCCGAAGAGGCTGTGCTGAAATATTCGCCCATGTCAAACGTCTAACGTCTCCACCCTGAGTGTCACCATATGCAGCCGCGCCTGTCCTGCCGGAGACATGACACTGCCCCACACAGTGTCGCTCCGTCACTAACTCCGGCCGGTCTGTGCGTCAGGCGGCGGCCAGCATGCCGCTGCCGGGCCTGGTGTCGGCGCACTCGGCGCCGCCGCCGCCGCTCACCGTGCTCACGCTGGCCACGCGCACCGTGGTGAGCGCGCGCTCTCACCAGAGCGAGCTGGTCATGATCTCCTGCCTGGTGCACAAGCAGTTCCGACTGGACGGCGCCGCGCCGACGCCGCTCTTCCAGCAGCATTTCTGCGGTAGGTCGGGCGGGATCCGCACGGCGTGGTGATTACGTGTTGGCTTTGCAAGTTCGCGTTGTCAGTGCTAATAAATGATAATTCCGTTCGTTTTGCGTCGGCCGGGATTGGATTATATGATCTGTCTGCTTCTGTGATCTGTCTGTGTTCTGTGATCTGATATGATCTGTCGGCTTTAGACGTCATGTATGTGGCAGTCTGGAGACCCGGTACGCTCTCGTCGTTAAACATGTCCGGGATCTACCATTACCGTACCGTAAGGGACAAGGTGTTATGCCATTATAGGCTGTCATATCGTGTCTTTTTCCGTCGTATTGGGATAATCCACCCATCCCGTCTCTCATACTTGCAGGCATGAAGTCATTGGCGCTAGGCATTTGCGTAAATGTTGCTGGGCAGTGGCGGCCTCATTTTACGTCAATATTTACGCGGAGCCACGCGAGTTGTGTGCCCCAAGTAATTCGTATCCTAGCATTCCGAAACTCGTGGGAGTCTCTACGATTGTGTGAACCGATCCGGAACTCACTGTGCCTGCCACTCGATTTGGGATGAGACCGATGGCGCAACCACCGCGTCGCTTGTTTCGTCTGATTCTGAGTTAACGGAGTTGGAGCGCGCCACCACCGTCATAGCTGACCAACCGTGTCTCTGTTGCAGCCGTCACCAAGCCGGCAGACGCAGCCTGGCCGTATGACTTCGACAAGCAGCTGGCGGGCTTCAGCGACACCACAGTCCGCAAGTGTATGAACGAGAAGGCGCTCATTTCGTTCTTCCTCGCGAAGGTAGGCTGCTTAGACCGAGTGAAATGGGCCGGGACGCCGGGTTTGGGCAGTGACAAGAGACGTGGTGTAACTTGTTGCACACCGCCATGTTCAGGTATCTCATATAATGTTGCATGCATGCGAGATGCTGCATCTTACGTTGCCGAGTGTTGCGCCGAAATGTATGTTTGAGCCTGTTGGTATTGGATATTCTGTAGTGGTATTTAAAGCTGTTCTTTGCTCCTCTTTTTGGTCACATTGAGACGCCCTCTGCAAAGAAAATATTTTGAAACGTGCAAAGTTGTGTGACAAACATTTCCCGTCGTGGAAACCTCGTGTGCCAGTTGACACACGGGTTTGTTTGTTCGGCACGTGACTCCAGCAGCATGCCGCCAGTAAATAGCGAAGGATCTGTCAGCGAACTACTGGAGAAGTTAGTTCATCGTCTTGACCTCCTCATGCGCCATGCATGCCACAGATGAACAAGCTGGACCCAGACCTGGTGGTCGGCCACAACGTGTACGGCTTCGACCTGGACGTGCTGCTCAGCCGCTGCCGCCTGCTGAAGCTGAACAACTGGGCGCACATGGGCCGCCTGCGACGCTCGGCTGACGTCCTCTTCAAATCGGTCAGTGCAGCAGTGCCGCTGCCGACAGTGTAGGTCGTCATAGGTCATCATGCGGACAGTGCGGGTCAGCATGTGGCCCCGGGACGGCTAGTGCGCTGGCATGCTGTTCATGTCCTGCTATCCTGTTCATGTCCTGTTCATGTTCATGGCATGCTGTTCATGATGCGTTTTTGAAGGCTAGCATTTTTGGAACGATCACTGCACGGGCCCACGCGTTTGCGGCACATTTTGTATCCCCACCAAATCAGCCGTGCCATGTACTAGCTCCCCAGCGGGCTGTGTGCGGTGTCCTAATCTCAACCCAGCGATGGCCGCGCTCTTCGTCATAGCGCGTCCCGTTACGTTGAAAGGCAGGTGGCGCGGCGTTGTTCGACGTGCTTCTCAGTGCGCCGATCGCCTGTGAACACGGCCGGGGCGATGCGGCCCTGCCGCTGTCAGTGACCCGCGCCGCTGACCGTCCGTCCCGTGTCCGGCAGAAATTCTCGGACGACGCGGTGCGCCGGAGTGCGCTGTGCGGCCGGCTGCTGTGCGACACCTTCCTCTCGGCCAAGGAGCTGACGCGCCAGAAGAGCTATGACCTGCCGGAGCTGTGCCGCACCGTACGTGAGGCACGGGGTGGCGGGGCCGCAGCCGGCACCGTGCCCAGATCAAATGGTGCCATTGACTTGGCTGGTGTTCTCACGTGTATGCGTGATAGACGTTTAGACGTGCATTTCGTAGCCGGGTTGTATGGCCAGGTATTGCTTTGGAAGTTGCGCTTATGAAATGTCCTCTGGCCAGTCCTCCTGGTTTTCCGCACTGCCAGTCGCCGAGCGGAGGTAGGCCGGTCATCAAGCCACCGTCAACACAAAGTGCTGTTGTCGCCCCCTCCCCTCCCCCCCCCCCCCCCCCCCCCGCTGCATCCGCTACGTCCGACCGGTTGTATGGATGGCTCCACTACCCCGTCTGCCAGTTGCTCCGTTTGGTTCGCCGCCTCCGATATGGGCTGACTTGTGCCTGTTGTCAGCCCACCCGATCCTGCCCTCTCCCTCGCCTTGTGACGCCCTCTCCCGCCGCCAGGTGCTGCGTCTGCCGCCCGCCGAGATCGTGGAGGTGTCTCAGGAGCGCGTGGCCGGCATGTTCTCGGCGTCGCGCTCCATCCTGCAGCTGGTGACGCTGACCATGCAGGAGGCGCACAACGCCGGCCGCGTGCTGGCAGAGCTCAACGCCCTGCCGCTGGCGCTGCAGGTGGGACCTCACGACGCGAGCTCGCGGTCAGCTGCTGTTTGTGCGGGAGGGACTCGCCGTCGACGCGTGTGGGTTGGTTGTCTGAGTGAGCTCGGCAGGGTGTGATGTTGCAAGCAAGCACCATGCGTCTCCGCGTCTTCGCCCTGTTAGGATCAGAACAGTCAGGCGCCACGGAAAGACAAGACGTGCCGGCATTTTGCCGCCGGTAGCTTATTGAATTATGGCAATACGCGAGCTGACCAACGTCGCGACGAATCCAGCCGCAGTGGCGATGGTCGCCGAGCCCTCGTAACATCACCGTGTTCGGCTCGCGGTCTTAGTTGTGCGGCATCGCGCTGGCCACCTTTTACCGACCTTCCCCCGTCTGGTGACCGTCAGATCACGCGTCTGGCCGGTAACCACTGACCTGCTCTCGTCCGGTGACCCTCAGATCGCACGTCTGGCCGGTAACCACTGACCTTCCCTCGTCTGGTGACCGTCATATCACACGTCTGGCCGGTAATCACTGACGTGCTCTCGTCTGGTAACCGTCAGATCACGCGTCTGGCCGGTAACCTGATGTCACGGACTTTGCTCGGCGGCCGGGCGGAGCGCAACGAGTTCCTGCTGCTTCATGCCTTCACCGAGCGGGGCTACATCGTGCCCGACAAACAGTGGGGCAAGAAGAAGGTGGGTGGCTGGGGCTGCTGAGTGTTGCGATCGGCAAAAAATAACTTATCTGCGAAAAAACTTTTTTAAAAGTGTGCGATCTGTTAGCTACTCGCCTTATCAGTCTGGCCGCGGAAAATGTCACCAGTGATCGGCCCGAGATGCACCGCTTCGCGAGGAGTCGACACGGGCCGCCGCCCAGCGTGCTCAGCCCGCTGCCGTGGGGCGACCGTGGCCGCCCCGCGCTCAGCTGTCCGCCACGTGCCGCAGTTCCCGCGGGCGCCCGAGCCGGGCGGCGATGAGGAGCCGGCGGAGGCGGCGGCTGACCCGAGGGCGCGCCGGAAGCCCAAGTACGGCGGCGGGCTGGTGCTCGACCCCAAGAAGGGCTTCTACGACCGCTACATCCTGCTCATGGACTTCAACTCGCTCTACCCCAGCATCATCCAGGAGTACAACATCTGCTTCACCACGCTGCCGCGGCTGCCGGCCGCGCAGCACGAGGTTGGTGCTGACTGAAACGCTGGGGTTCCGCAGGCTCCGCGGTACCTCTGGCACGGTGTTTCGCCCAGGGCTTTCGCGTAGCTCGTGATGAGACTACGCGGTATTTTATTTCGGAAAATATGCCCGCCCTCTGGTGTCATGTAAGTCTATGTGAACACTATGTTCGAACGGGCGAGGACGTGCCCAGCTGTTGCACAGTTACCGCCGTCTGGAGTCAGGTCCTGGGAAGTGGTCTGCAGTCGCTGTATGCCGGACACCATATGACCTCGTAGGCTGCGGCCTCCATCCCGCGACGCCGTTGCGGTCCAGGACAGACCTCCACGGAGTCCCGCTGTAGTGCACGCTGCCGCGTCCTCAGGAGGGGGACGAGGTGGCGCTGGACATGCCGGCCGACGACCTGGAGACGGGCGTGCTGCCGCTGGAGATCAAGAAGCTGGTGGAGCGGCGGCGCGAGGTCAAGAAGCTGATGAAGGACCCCAAGACCAACCCCGAGGACACGCTCCAGGTATGCAGCGAAACGTTCGGTGTACGGTGGCGCGCGCAGCGCGCGCGCGCGATCACAGCGGGGACCCGACAGTGACAGTGGACGGCTCGCCTGAGACACTCACTTCGCGCTGATGTGGTGAGATTACAGCTGGCTCACCCCCCGGATGGTTAGAGTTTATGCAGTTGTACTCGCCATCAGACAGGAGCTTTGCCAGCTGGCCGAATGACTGCGGTCGGCTCACTGGGTTAGCGACGAACCAGCGCGGTCGCCGTGTGGTGCTCAGCTCGTGCATGTCCTTGGCCCCACCGTCGCCGTGTGGTGCTCAGCTCATGCCTGTCCTGACCCCACCGTCGCCGTGTGGTGCTCAGCTCATGCCTGTCCGACCCCACCGTCGCCGTGTGGTGCTCAGCTCGTGCTGTCCTGACCCCACCGTCGCCGTGTGGTGCTCAGCTCGTGCCTGTCCTGACCCCGCCGTGCCGTGTGGTGCTCAGCTCATGCTGTCCTTGACCCCCGTCGCCTGTGGTGCTCAGCTCATGCCGTCCTGACCCCGCCGTCGCCGTGTGGTGCTCAGCTCGTGCCTGTCCTTGACCCCACCGTCGCCGTGTGGTGCTCAGCTCTGCCTGTCCTGACCCCGCCGTCGCCGTGTGGTGCTCAGCTCGTGCCTGTCCCTGACCCCGCCGTCGCCGTGTGTGCTCAGCTCGTGCATGTCCTTGACCCCACCGTCGCCGTGTGGTGCTCAGCTCGTGCCTGTCCCTGACCCCACCGTCGCCGTGGGTGCTCACGCTCGTGCCTGTCCCTGACCTCCGCAGTCGTCGTGTGGTGCTCAGCTCGTGCCTGTCCCTGACCCCGCCGTCGTCGTGTGGTGCTCAGCTCGTGCATGTCCTTGACCCCGCCGTCGCCGTGTGGTGCTCAGCTCGTGCATGTCCTTGGCCCCACCGTCGCCGTGTGGTGCTCAGGTCATGTCTGTTCCTGACCCCGCCGTCGTCGTGTGGTGCTCAGCTCGTGCATGTCCTTGACCCCGCCGTCGCCGTGTGGTGCTCAGCTCGTGCATGTCCTTGACCCCGCCGTCGCCGTGTGGTGCTCAGCTCGTGCATGTCCTTGACCCCACCGTCGCCGTGTGGTGCTCAGCTCGTGCCTGTCCCTGACCCCGCCGTCGTCGTGTGGTGCTCAGCTCGTGCATGTCCTTGACCCCACCGTCGCCGTGTGGTGCTCAGCTCGTGCCTGTCCCTGACCCCACCGTCGCCGTGTGGTGCTCAGCTCGTGCCTGTCCCTGACCCCGCCGTCGTCGTGTGGTGCTCAGCTCGTGCCTGTCCCTGACCCCGCCGTCGTCGTGTGGTGCTCAGCTCGTGCATGTCCTTGACCCCACCGTCGCCGTGTGGTGCTCAGGTCATGTCTGTTCCTGACCTCGCCGTCGCCGTGTGGTGCTCAGCTCGTGCCTGTCCCTGACCTCGCCGTCGCCGTGTGGTGCTCAGCTCGTGCCTGTCCCTGACCCCACCGTCGCCGTGTGGTGCTCAGCTCGTGCCTGTCCTTGACCCCGCCGTCGCCGTGTGGTGCTCAGCTCGTGCCTGTCCCTGACCTCGCCGTCGTCGCCGCCGCCAGCTGGACGTGCGACAGAAGGCGCTGAAGCTGACGGCCAACAGCATGTACGGCTGCCTCGGCTTCGAGTCGTCCCGCTTCTACGCCAAACATCTGGCGGCGCTCATCACAGGTCGGCGGCGATTGGGGTGGGGGAGTGCGCCTGCCGGGGGTTACAGGCTGCCACGGGGCGCGGGGAGGGGGGGGGGGATGTGCTCGGTACGGGCTGTCGGCACGTGGGCCATACAGGACGAGTGGCGCAACTTTGCGCTGTCACGCGTCCTGGTATTAGTTCATAAGGCCGTTCACGGTCGTCTTGTGCTGCTGGGCGGATGGATGTGTGTTGGACACCAATACCGTCCCGGGCTGCTAGACCATGCTCTATCGTTAAGGGCGTTCAGTGCCATATTTACACCCGCGCAAATACAGCTCGCACCCGCTCCCTCAACACCGACTCGTCAGCACGGCCCTGATCGCCACGCATCTCACCTGGGGTGGTGCGTCTGACTGAGCTCCCTCCTCCTCCTCCGGCCGCAGCCAAGGGCTACCCGGGGTAGCCGTCTGACTGAGCTCCCTCCTCCCCCTCCGGCCGCAGCCAAGGGCTGCCCGGGGTAGCCGTCTGACTGAGCCCCTTCCTCCTCCTCCGGCCGCAGCCAAGGGCTGCCCGGGGTGGCTCGTCTGACTGAGCTCCCTCCCCATCCGGCCGCAGCCAAGGGCCGTCCGGGGTGGCCTGTCTGACTGAGCTCCCTCCTCCTCCTCCGGCCGCAGCCAAGGGCCGTCCGGGGTGGCCCGTCTGACTGAGCTCCCTCCTCCTCCTCCGGCCGCAGCCAAGGGCCGTCCGGGGTGGTGCGTCTGACTAAGCTCCCTCCTCCTCCGGCCGCAGCCAAGGGCCGTCCGGGGTGGTGCGTCTGACTAAGCTCCCTCCTCCTCCGGCCGCAGCCAAGGACCGTCCGGGGTGGCCGTCTGACTGAGCTCCTTCCTCCTCCTCCGGCCGCAGCCAAGGGCTGCCCGGGGTGGCCCGTCTGACTGAGCTCCCTCCTCCCCCTCCGGCCGCAACCAAGGGCTGCCCGGGGTGGCCGTCTGACTGAGCTCCCTCCTCCTCCGGCCGCAGCCAGGGGCCGTCCGGGGTGGTGCGTCTGACTAAGCTCCCTCCTCCTCCGGCCGCAGCCAAGGGCCGTCCGGGGTGGTCGTCTGACTGAGCTCCCTCCTCCTCCGGCCGCAGCCAAGGGCCGTCCGGGGTAGTGCGTCTGACTAAGCTCCCTCCTCCTCCGGCCGCAGCCAAGGACCGTCCAGGGTGGCCGTCTGACTGAGCTCCCTCCTCCCCCTCCGGCCGCAGCCAAGGGCCGTCCGGGGTGGCCCGTCTGACTGAGCTCCCTCCTCCTCCTCCGGCCGCAGCCAAGAACCGTCCGGGGTGGCCCGTCTGACTGAGCTCCTTCCTCCTCCGGCCGCAGCCAAGGGCCGTCCGGGGTGGCCCGTCTGGCTCGGCCCCCTCCTCCTCCGGCCGCAGCCAGAGGCTGCCCGGGGTGGCCCGTCTGACTGAGCTCCCTCCCCATCCGGCCGCAGCCAAGGGCTGTCCGGGATGGCCGTCTGACTGAGCCCCCTCCCTCTCCGGCCGCAGCCAAGGGCCGTCCGGGGTGGCCCGTCTGACTCGGCCCCCTCCTCTCCGGCCGCAGCCAAGGGCCGCGACATCCTGCTGCAGACCAAGTCGCTGGTGGAGCGCATGGACCTGGAGGTGGTGTACGGCGACACCGACTCCATCATGATCAACTCGCGCCAGCTCAACTTTGACCAGGTCATGGAGCTCGGCAAAGAGGTACGGGGCGAGGCAGGGGGAGGGGGCGGGGGGGGGATGCGGCTGGAGCGCGGCCGGGTGGACGGCTGCATGACGGATGAAGGAGACATGGATGGGGTTTGCATGGGTTGTCTCCGATGGTGGCGCTTAAGATGCTGAAATTCAAGTCAAACTAGAGAGTTTGGCGAGTTCCCGGTGACAGCTTGCGATGTTTCACAGAACCACGCCTGCTTATGTTGTACACTTTTATTAACTGTGATACATAATCGTTTTATGCTTTAGCGGACATAACATTCACCTTACGGAGATCGATCACGACCTCCGATCTGTGTCTAGCCGGTTGGAGGATTATCCATTCCCAAGCTCGAGCCACGAATGTCCGAGGCCATATTCAGCCGTGTGAATTTCCGTTGGACACCTCCGCCCGCGCCTTCAGATCAAACGTGAGGTCAACAAGCTGTACAAGCTGCTGGAGCTGGACGTGGACGGCCTGTACCGTTACATGCTGCTGCTGAAGAAGAAGAAGTACGCGGCGGTGGCGGCTAGCCGCGGCCCTGACGGTGTCATCCAGTACACACGCGAGCTGAAGGGCCTGGACATTGTGCGCCGGGACTGGAGCAAGATTTCGGCCAGCTGCGGCATGTGAGCCCCTTCCGCCCCTCCGACTCCGGCCGGGGAAGGAATGGAGACACGCCGTGCCCTGCGTACTATGCCACATGGTGCTGACGCTCCATTGTCTGTGTATGCCGCACGTTGATAGTCTCAGGACGGCTTCGTTTCATGGCTGCGCCCGGCTGTCTCGTCTTCGTTCATTCGTTTCGGTTTAGCCTGACTGTCCTGTGTTACGTCACCATGTTACGTTTATGCGTGCGATATCCGCATATCATTCCTCCATGGGCATGCGGAGAATAATTCACACCGACGTAGAACGCACGCCGTCCCCGTCCCCCCCCCCCCCCCTCGCCCCGTGCCTGTGGGCCGCCAGTGTGTTGCCCGTGCTTCGAGCCCGGCCAGTGACGCCAGCCCCTCCCCCTCCCCGACGCGTGCCCAGGTACGTGATCGACCAGATCTTCTCGGCGCTGGAGCACGACGAGAAGCTGGAGCGGATCCATGCTCACCTGGAGGCGGTGCGGGCGCGCCTGGAGCAGGGCGACGTGCCTCTGGCGGACCTGGCTATTACCAAGGAGGTCAGCCGCCGGACCGCACCCTCGACGCCGTCAGGCGCTGGCCGGGACCGGGCTGTGCACGATGACCTTGGCGTGATTGTTTGGGACGAATTTTGCCGGTTGGGACGTTGTGGTCCGAATGTAGGAGTAGGGCGACGCGTGCACCAGCCGGCGCAGGATTTTGAACTTTAGGAGTTGTGTTTGAAAGCCCCGATTTTATCCGAAATCATTGCCAACGTAAAAGCAGCAATACGGAATAAAAACACGTGACAAAATGCCGGCCGTAGTTGCATTTGTTATGTAAAGCCAGCACTCGTTCACTGGACTTTCTTTCCTGCCTATCCGCCAGCGCTGCTTGCCGTGGACGTTGTATGATAGTCCTTCTGTAGCCCGGGTCTGATCTGGTCTGGAGGCAGTGCGGCACATCCGTGCTGTGCCGTCGCCAGCGGAGCTCATCTCTCGCCCCGCGCCCCGCCTTCCCCCGCCTCCACCGCCTGACGACCCTGCCCCGCCCAACGCCCGCTTTCCCTCGCCTCCACCGTCTGACGACCCCGCCCCGCCCAACGCTCCGCCTTCCCTCGCCTCCACCGTCTGACGACTCCGCCCCGCCCAACGCTCCGCCTTCCCTCGCCTCCACCGTGACGACTCCGCCCCGCCAACGCTCCGCCTTCCCCGCCTCCACCGTCTGAGGACTCCGCCCCGCCCACGCTCCGCTCCGCCTTCCCTGCCTCCACCGTCCGACGACTCCGCCCGCCCCCAACCTCCGCCTTCCCTCGCCTCCACCGCTGACGACTCCGCCCCGCCCAACGCTCCGCCTTCCCTCGCCTCCACCGTCTGACGACCCGCCCCGCCAACCCCCCCGCCCCGCCTTCCCCGCCTGTCCACTGACGACCCCGCCCCCCCAACGCTCCGCCTTCCCTCGCCTCCACCGTCTGACGACTCCGCCCCGCCCAACGCTCCGCCTTCCCCCGCCTCCACCGCCTGATGACTCCGCCCCGCCCAACGCTCCGCCTTCCCTCGCCTCCCCCGTCTGCCGACCCCGCCCCGCCCCCAGCTGAAGAAGAACCCGGAAGAGTACGCCGACAAGAAGGGCCAGGCGCACGTTAACGTGGCGCTGCGCGTGAACTCGCGCGGCGGCAAGAAGCTGCGGCGTGGTGACACGGTCCAGTACATCATCTGCAAGGTGGGGCCGCGGCCGGGCGGCCCTGTGCTGCCCGAGGCTCTGCGGAGCCGGGGCCTCCTGCCGCCCGAGGCTCCGCGGGGCCGGGCGGGCCGCGCTCGGAGCGCTGTGGTACGATTCAGACGGCTGTGCGCCGCGTGGTTGGCGCCCCCCCCCCCCCCCCCAATTGGCACCATGTGATCTGGTGCCTGGAGGGTACAGCAGGGGGAAGTACAGATCAGATGTGGTTTCGCAGCAGGGGGCTCGACTCGCACAAAAACGGGCCCTCGTCGGCGCCTGCGCGAGGCGCTGAGGCATTATCGGGATGCGGGCAGGTGTGCTGATGACGTTTGGGCTGGGACCAGGTTCACGCTGACTATCCGGCAGCGTGTTCTTTGACCAAGTGTGCAGTCACGCCCTCAGGCCGGGACGGTGACGCGTCCTCGACCCGGCGGCTTACCCTCCCCCGCCCCCTCCCCCCGCGCCTGGCAGGACGGCAGCGGTCTGGAGCCGATGCAGCGCGCCTACGCGCTGGAGGAGGTGGCGACCGGCGGCGGCGCACTGCCCGTCGACACCGAGTACTACTTGGCCGGCCAGGTGCACCCCGTCGTCAGCCGGCTGGTGGAGCCGCTCGAGGGCACCGACGCCGCCCGGCTCGCGCAGGCGCTCGGTGAGTGCGTGCGGGCAGGGCGGCGCGCGACGGCGGAGCGGCCGGTGACGGAGAGAGCGAGAGCGGGAGCGGGAGCGGGCGCGGCGCTCTGACGAGACGTGCAAGTGGCGGACCACTGCAGCAATGTGGCAGTTCTGATGAGGGTGATCAGGTCTTGACGCGCGCCGACTGCGTTGGTCATAGGGCGCCCATAGATGGGGTAGTTAATGAGAGCAGCCATGTTGTTCCTAACTGAACACAGGGTGGAAGCGAGCTAGGTGGGCGCCTCGTTCATACCATTGCTTTCTGATGTCTTGCGAGACGTCGTGATGTTCTTCTGCCACGGCGAAATCGGCGTCCGCATGAATCGGTGCAAGGTTCCACAAACGTGATCCCAAGCAATTGGGCGGTTTTGTGAAGGCGGCCAGCCGCCGCTGCTCCGGCTGACGCGTCGCCCGGGTGGCTGATAACTCCGGCTCGTTACAGGACTGGACCCGAGCAAGTTCCGACAGCACGTGGCGCGCCAGGAGGACGGCGACGAGGCGCAGCGCGCGCTGGCTGGCCTCTCGGAGGCGCAGCGGTACGCCGCCTGCGCGCCGCTCCTGGTGCGCTGTGTCGGTTGCCAGCAGGAGCAGAAGTTCGCCGGCGTGTTCATAGAGGGCGGGCAGGAACTGCGCCTGGCGCGCTGCGAGAACGCCGCATGCGACGCCGTGCCCGTGCAGTACCTGCCGCTTATCGTCAACAAGCTGCGCATGGACATCCGGTCTGCCATACATCGTTACCTGCAGGTCAGGCTGCGGGCGGGGCGGCGCTGCGGCCCGGCCGGCGCCGCGGTCCGGCCGGCGGGCCCGCCGGACCGTCGAGCGACGGGGTCTGACAGGGAGGGAGCTTCGTCCCAAGTGCGATGACCTTGGTGTCGGCGTTGCAGGGGAGGTCCTGTACATCTTTGTCAGCACTGAAATGTGGCAGGCTTTGCTTTGTCTGCGGTTCTTGTAAGCTGCACGCACAACATCACTGAGCTAGCTGTGTTCAACTTGGGGCAGTACAACTGCTCGTTCCCAGTATCTGGATAGCACCAAGGCCGTATTTCCTACATCACTTACGTCACCATAGTCACTTATAAGAACCTGAGTCTGGTCATCGCGTTGTCCATATGTGCTAAATCGACCGACACTGCTCAACGACCCTTAGGGTCGTTGAGCACCCTGTTCGACTCTCACTAACTATAAGCGAACGGCACTGTGTTCAACGACCCTAAGGGTTGTTAAACGCGGTGTCGTTCGGTCGCAGCAGACTTCTGCCGCGTCCCGTGTCAGCCACCCGACCACAGCGGCCTGTTGACAGGGGGTGCTTTACTGCGAGGATCCCGGCTGCCCGCACGAGACCACCCGCATACCGTTCGCGTTCGAGCGGGGCTTCCCCGTTTGTGAGCTGTGTCACAAGGCGGTGCTCATACCGAAGGTGAGTCCGTGGGCCGGGCGCGCCGTGTGTGTGGGGGCGGGGGGGGGGGGGGGGCACCTCGTTCCCGTGTACATTGTGGCGTGGTCCGTCCCGAAGTGTGTCCAGGGAGGGGCGCTCAGCTCTGGATTACTAGCATTGCGTCATTTATTCTCTCGTGGGTGTGCACTGGAAACTCCTGCTTACAATCTCACGATGTGTCATTGTTACCTTGTGCTCGCCCCCACTGTCAGACCTCGCCTGATTGTCCTGAAGTCCTGACTCGCCCACGAGCTCAGGACGCTGATATTTCCGCGAGGTTTTCGCTGACGCGTACGCTTTCTGCATCCCCAGTATGACGACCGAACCCTGTATAATCAGCTGTGCTTCTACCAGCACATGTTCGACCTCAAGAAGGCCTTGGATGATCTCGACGTCAAACAGAAGCGTGAGTAGCGTTTCGCATGCGCTCTCGCCGTGTATTCAGGCGTCAGTGCCTGACCACGCACGAGCGAGGCTGCGTTGCCAGAGAGGTCATTTCCTCGATAACCTACCGGAGGTTACAGTCTCAGCTCGTGCGTTGTTTCTGCAGAGGCCGGAAGAGTGTCCGCCGGTTGATGACGCAGCTGTAAGTCGGGCTAGAACAGATCGACTCATATCGCTTTGTGTGGAGTTAACATTTGAGCATCGGCATCGATCGTTTACGGAGCATTCTTCTGCGCGCTGTCCAACAGCAAAGGCTCCCCACTGAGCAGCTTTCCAAGTTCGCCTGCCGCACGTCTCCAATTTCACCACTGAATATCCAACGATATCAGGAGAGGGCTGCTGTTTTTAGAGTGTATAGTCCAGTCCTGGTAAAGTAACGGATGTCGTCCAGTGTTGAACGTGCCCTTGTGACGGACCGCATGTCTCCAGCGCATTCGATCTGTCTGCAGGCTCCAAGTGAGAATTGCGTCTGTTAGCACGACCACCCCTGTGATGTGCCAGCGACTATCACGCATAGCGCGAGTTGCCCATGGTAGCTCCTATCCCATGAGACGCGTCCCGTGTGTGAAAGCCTTTTTGTCTCGCTACGTGTCTCTGCGTGTGCATCTTTCTCATTCTGACAATGACGACCGAGCGCCACGCGCGCCTGTGTGGTGGCGCCGTGAGCAGAAGACCTGGCGTCTGATGTCCGCGCTTCGGACACAGTTCGCTCACCGTAAGATCACGTGCCAGCCCGCTCGGATCGTGTCCGTGGCGCTGCTGACCGCAGATGCCGCTCGCTGGCGGTCCCTCGCGCGGTCCCGTTCTCACGCGGTCCTGCTCTCACCACAGAGACGGCGCGGCGCGCGGCTGGCTTCGCGGCCCTGGAGGCGGCCTACGGCACGCTGCAAGCCGAAGTGGACGCCGCGCTCCGGCTCAGCAACTACTCCCACATCGACCTGGGCCTGCTGTTCCAGGACATGGTGATCCGGCCGGTCGTCAAGCGGGAGGTCTAGACTTGGGGTGGGGCGTCGCGGAGAGGTGCGTTCGGTTCTGACTTCAGCTTCAATGTTGTGATGTCACAGACCGCAAGACTGGTGGGAGTTTTTTGGCCGTGAATTGGCAACGATTGCTCAAAATGCGGCTTGTTAGGAAAGCTACACATTCGTGCCGGACATTTTAAAACACGCGTGCTAGTTTTGACTGTCTGAGTACTTTTTGTGAGACGTGCCGTAGAAGAGTGGCCACGTGATCCTGTGGGATATCCTCGGAGTGGCAGGGATGTAGGGTTGTTTGAAAAGCTTCGTCACTGGGGCACGTTTCGTCATTGACTGCGTCGTAGCTTGGGAGGCGGTTCTCGTGACAGTGTTCCGGATGAGCCCTATGCTTGCTTTGACGGGAATGAATGCTGGACGACATCTCGGTCCGCAGTCGTCTCACCCTTGTGAATTATATCATCGAAGTCGCCGTGTTTGCGCCAGTGACCGCGTGTAAATATACGTGGGGCATCACCTACGAGTGTGCCGAAGCCCGTCAGTCGTGTTGCTTTGTCTGCGATCTGATAGATCATCTTTGTCCTGGAATCTCACGGAACTTTTTAACGCGAGAGCCCAGGCTCTGGCGCCGTTAGCCGTGATACGTAGCGAAGCAGCGAGGTGCTTGGACTGGTACCGGGCCGGGGATCGCCTGCCGGGAACGGCAGGCACCCATCCCGCGATACGCCGCCGACTTTCCCCGGCCGATCCAAGGTCGTCGTGTGGACGAGAACATGGCGGACGAGTTGGCAGGTCGGTGACGTCATCCGCTGGTGGCTATTCGGCTGCATTGGCTGGTTGAGGCGGCGGGGGTCGTTCGCTGTCCGGGGTTGAGGAGAACGGCGGACGTCACCCCTGCAATTGCGCGACAGCTGTGGCGCCACCTGTGCACAGGTGAAAGCTGCGCCAGCACAGCCCCATCCCCACGCATGTTACGGTGTACTATAAAGTACCACCTTATTTGGGTTTCGAATCTTTAAATGATGTACCTTGGCGGCCGTCCGTACATTACGTCACGCATGGGGGAGATGGCGAGTGTTGAAAGATCGTAGCGAAAACATGGCAGGGGATGGGAGGGGATTTTCGAAGTTTACGCTCAGGTGATGTGGTTGTGGATAATGCTAGTGCTAAAACGCTAGGTATTAACGATTTAAAACCTAAATTCCGGGCACCGTGAATTTTTTCCCCATGAAGAGGAAAGAATCCCTTATTTGTATCGTATTCTTAGCTCAGTTAGGCGCCAGATGGACCCATTTTGGGGATGTTACGCCTGATACGGCGTTACCAGGGGGAGGCGGTTCGTCGAAGGTAACCAGTGCGTAACCAGGGGAGGGGGTGCGGAATATTGGACAAGGGCTATAACGTACGACGCGATTTGGGCGGCCCTTTAGGGCATACTGACTGAATGACTGTACGACTGTGTGAAGCCCAGTACCTGTGTTTGGCTTTGCTGCAGTTGGATTTGCTAAGTATTCCTTACGGATGGAGTTCAGATCGTTTAATAGGGGGCCAGTGCGTCCGTAATGTGGGGCATATCTGTTCTCCGCGTGACAGATGCTGCTTTTTCCAAGGTGCGAGTACGGTTTTGTTTGTTACGTTTGGCCCAAGCGCTCGTTCCAGACATGCGCGCCCGGACGATCAACAGAGGGCGGCCCTTTAAAGACCCCGTCGGAGTGTGGGGACGTTCAGACAGTACCGTAGCAGCAGCAGTCGGCTGTCGGAGGGACACTGAGACGGACGCGGTGATGGGAGACCATATCGGCCTGTCACTCGGCGCCCACACCTCTGCAAAATGTAAGCCCGGAGGAGGAATCGCCGACCCTTAAGCGAGTCTTTGAGATCCCGGCCCCTTCATGTTCCATTACCTTGCGTTGCATTAACACACCTTAAAAAGGAAAGTTCTGTAGGAATGATGAGCTTGCGTACTCGCACATTATTTCTAATACGTTATAGGTCGTACACTCCTTTCGTGCTTGCATCGTATCGTAGTAATTAGCATATCGCATATGCAAGTATGTCGCTAATGTGTATCGTTAAATGGTATTCTGACCCCTGCCTGGCATTCGTCTATGCGTTTCAATGAAGTTTGTTGGAAAATAGCAGATCAGTGAATTATGTGTGGCCTGAATTTTGTGCTATGAGGCAGGACGCGTCGTGTCAGGTCCATACTTTTGACGTTAATATTACTATCTTGCGTAGCTCATATGCTGCGTACAGATTGTGGCGGCTGTGAATTGTCTACGAGTGCAGTGAAATGACTTTTGTCACCACGGGCCAAATGCGTCACAGACGCCTAGCGTTATGACTCCCCCGGGCAGCGACGGAGAACGTATTAAGCGGGACGTAGGCAGTTGTCCTAGCCGTGGGTTGAAAGGTTCCCCTCCTTACAGAAATCAGGCAGTTGGCTGTAGGTCGATCTCCCGACGGCTCATACGTGAGGTGGGACGCGCTTTTGCACGTCGCTGGCCACTAGGTGAAGTGGCAGTAGCACCTGTGGAGTACCGTTGATCGACTTGGGACTCGCAGAACGCGAAATTCGTTTTTCAGCTGCCTTCTCGCGCCTCTCAAAATGTGGGGGTCCAAAAAGTGCGTTGGGCTGTCGGAAAAGTTGGTTGCTAATTCTGTTGGTGAATTGGACACGTAGCCACAGAAGTGGGTTCGATAAGACAACCATAAGTAACTGACCCTTAGCACCGGCAGTGAATTCCGTGAATGGTAATGGTACTGTTGTTAGAAAAATCAAAAAAATACCGTTGTTAGAATAATGCCATAGACTCCACCAGAACGCGAGGTTCACTACGAGCCGATGGGAGATGCCGGCGTGCCGATGAGGGATTCCAGCGACTGAGGATTTTGGGCCGATGGGAGACTCCGGCGACTAAATATTACGAGCCGAGAAGGATTCCGGGGTGCCGATGAGGTATCCCGGCATTATTCAGTGACGAGAGAGGGTGGGGGCTACGTGGTGGTACTGCGGTGAGCCCTGCACCAGGTGGTTTCTATTTACTGGAGACAAATTCCAAGGAATACGTGGTGTAGCGACTGCACGGTTCCGCTCATAATTGAGAGAGGTCTGATCATCGCAGACTGATCCTCTGAGCAGACTGTGTGAAGCCCATGTTAGGACGAAAAAATATGTTTTGTAAAAGCAATGCCAGCGAGCCCATGTTTTGCCCCCATGTGCAGTCGCCCCAGATAGTTGGTCCATGTAAGGGAATGGCCGCAATGGTAATTACCTGCGAATCCATACAGTGCAGCGGGCCAATAAGCCAACGGCCACCACCAACAATGGCACGCATAATTAATTCAAGCAAACATGATTATTGCCGGTAGCCGTATTACTCCCAAGGAACTTTCTTTTGTGAGGTCGTTTTGCTGAGTACAGTCAGTATCTCCAGACTATTTGGGCCTGCCGTGCCGTGGCCGCCCTTCGTGCTAGAATGAAAGGCGGGCGACGCCGGGCAGACTGAGCGGCTGGGCGCGTAGCAAAGCCCAATAACAGGATCAACGCGGGAGGCAAATAAGACGGTCGAATCCCGCCCCCTACCGTTTGCTAAACGCACAGCTAACTTAACGACCAAAGCGATATATTCATCAACGTCGTTAATCCGACGAAGTGGTCCTGTTACCTCGCTGACTGACGTTCGTAGCGAGTTCAAAACAGTATGCATTACACAACATCACAAACAAGCACATAACTTCAAAAACCATGCAGGAACTTCACCCAATTGTTGAGTAAGTCACGGCGTTTGTTGCCTTGATGCAAGTTGGGCTTTGGGAATCTCGTGATTGCCGTTTGGTGTCTGTCAAAAATCCGTCGGGTGAGCATAACGATATCGCTGAAAATGAGGAGCGAGTACTCCTAGCTGCGTCGACGGCCAGCGTGGGAGATGGCGCCTAAGAATGAAGTGAGAAAACTCAAGAAACTTAGCTAACTTAGCTAACATTCTGCGTAACATGCCATAACTGAAATAACTGACATTACGCGCTGCAACTCCAGGACGAATTTCACGTATCGGGAGGCTTGCAGCGCTCAAGGCATTACTACTACACACGCTAACTTCTTGTCGAGAGCGCTGCAATACGCATGGCACACACACACACACACACACACACACACACACACACACACACACACACACACACACACACACACACACACAACACACACACACACACATGTATATATATATTCGCCACCACGGTAACGTCGTTTGGTTGCTTGATTGTTTCGATTAGAGCCCTTTCGACCAGAAATGGTCATTTCAGGGCTATGTAATGAAAGATAATGGATAAGGATGGAGCAGAACTGCATGCGACTAAGGGGGGGGGGGGGGACAGCCGCCAAGCTTTAGTCCGCGCAAGGACCCCCGGGGTGGGCGCTGGGCCTGGGTCGGGGTTCCCCCCTGGGAGGCCTCTCGGCCCACTCATGGCTGATGCATGCAGCCTGCCCCAGATCAGCTGGGCGTCGCGAGGATTCAGGATGAAAAAGACAGGATGAGAGGATCGGATAAAGTAACACGGTTCGGGCCACTCGACCATCGTCCGCGCGCTGTCGCGGAACAGCAAGAAAATGCAGAAGGCAACGCCGGCCTGTTGCCGTTGGGGTAAAACATAAAAGGCACTAGGCAGCTTCTCCTGGCATAGTCACAAAAATCAATTATGCGTCATCAAGTGAGGGACCGCTGGCGAAGCTGATATTAATAATAAGATCGTGACGAAATCAATGCTCCACTAAGCGTAATCTGTGGCTGAAGCGGCATTTTTTTTACGTTGCATGGGGTACTATTATATGCCCACAAAAAACAATCATTTGAACCCAACGCATGAAAACCTGAGCATCAGCCGCATATGTAATGCTTATGCTAATTGAGGCTTGATGCGCAGTCAACCGTAATAACCCTTTTGCCAAACTGTTTCCGAAATTGTAATAGTGCTCACATCTGCATAAGGTGAGCATATACAGAGTAGTAAGGCAAAATACGTTTATACCACACATAAAATGTGTAGACACCTTGTTGTGACGTCATGGCTCCTGATTATGCGGTTAACCGCTGCCAATAGCGAACACAGAAGAGACCAACCGCGGTAGATATGTCTTTTATGCGCCGACCAGTTATTTCCACGTAAACAAAACAAACAGTCCCTGCAGTCATTTGTTTGGAAGGCCGAATTGTGCGTAGGATGATGATAGGCCAACCGCGTGCAAGATGGTAAACGAATAGCATGGTACGTGACGTGCGCATGTAATATTTTATGGCCAGTAGGTAGGAGATCCATCCAATGAACCGGACGCTTACGAGACATCGGTGTGTTGAACGTCGCGCTCGCGTTGCCGAGCGTTGACCAAGCCAAATTGTACCGCACTGTCAAATCATTTTTGGGTGGAAAATGTTGACGCCTTTTTTTGTGTGAAATGTACTGCACACTGTTGAAACACCTTGGAATGTAAGCTCTCTATGTGCTGAAACTGGTGGTGATTCCAACTGGCTGAGCCAAATGGAACGATCAGCATTATGATCTACGTGTGTTGAACATGTGTGGAGGTCGTTGCCACACCTGACATGTTTGGCATAATGTGTATTTTTTTCAGTCTGGCCATCTTTGGGTTTTTTCTGGTGCTATGCCAGCCACAATGTAAACAGCTACAATTTATAGTGCTTCCCCTATTTCTGTCTTGTGCTTGTGTAATAGTTTATGTTACTACACTTCTGTTTTTCAAAAATATAAATGAGATTGACTGTGTGGTATTGATATTTGCAAGCCAAGCTGACTTTATACAGCACACATGGATCATTGCCTCATTGCACATCATTACTGTCTGAAAGGTACCTACTGACAGGCTTTGCCTTTGAAATATATATATATATATTATATATATATATATATATATATATATATATATATATATATATACTTATATATATATATGCAAACATGTTTCCAACAAGATTAAGTGGTAACCTGTATTTGGTTATGATTTTCGTGAGATCAAAACCAAGCAGCAGCTAACTAGCACTTGTAGGTGTATGAATTTCCTCCACAGATGGAGCAAGTCAGTTGAGGTTTGGTGTTTGGGAAAGGTAATGTCTTTACTGTGATGTAAATCTAGTGTAAATGCTGCAGATGTATCATCAACCTCAGTGGACCATTTTAAATCTAGGCTCAATTTTTACTAGGGTGACATCATGCACAATGTCTCACACCAACTGCATCCCTAATTTAAGACTGTTGGGTTGCCTAAATGGGAACTCGGATAGTGATTGACAGGCCTAGTGGCCTTTTGAATTCCTAATCATCATAAGGTAACATATGGCAAATCTAGTGTGTGCTGTAATAAAGAACCAAAGATTTCATAGTGAGAATTGTGCCTTTGCACTGTATTGGATGGAACCATGCCACTGCCCCCTCCCCTCCGCCATGTCAACATGTGATCCACAAGTGGCTTCTCATGAAATGGTCTATCACAGAGTTGATATGCTGATTTAACCCAACATGACTTACTGACCTATTTTCTTGTTGCAGCACAGCCGGCAATAATATGAAATAATGTATTTCATGCGCAGCACCACATAGTTCACAGAACAGGCTTTATCTATGAGTGTAAGTATGTACTATAGACACATTACTTTGAACATTTGCATGCCTCCCACAGATACCATTTATCTTTGCTTCAAGAAAGTTAACTGTATCATTTGATATATTGTGTTCCCTAAAATCTCCTGTCTGTATTCTGACAGCACCTTTTTCTGGAAAGTACATGAGGAATTGTAATAAAGGATTGCTTATATGCTTACTACATGAACGGATCAAATATCCCATGCTTCCCATGATTGTTTGATCACAGTAGCTGTGAGTGGCATTAAAGGCTGCTGCTGGACCTGGTTGGAGCAGTGTGAATGCTTATCAGTGTTAGGTGGTAGGTGCACCTGCTGAATAGTACTTTTATTTTTAAAAAAACGGTTTGTGTTTTTGAAGTTCAGTCCAAAGCTTCTGATTGGATGAATGTCTGGCATCAAAGTTAACATGCTGTGGTGTGCATCAATTTGTCTGCCCTTCAACATCATGCAATGTTTAACATAGCTGGTGGCAGCCTGTCTCAATCAGGAGAAGATAGCCAGTGCCTCATGCAACCTGTATGCCATGGTGGAGTAAACCTAAAGCAGACACTAACCATCTGAGCCACTGGAACCAACAGGTTGTATTGGCTGGCAGATGGTATCTTTACAAATGTTCAGTCTACTAACAAAACTATAAGTCCAGTCTCTTGGCCATTTTGGAAGCAAAGCCAATGGATCCTGTCAGTGTTTGGTGTGGTGACACCATGTCAACATGGGTCTCGCCATGGTAGGACTGCGGTGACTCCCTGCCTGCGTCGGGGGTGACGACGCCGACCACCAGGGCCAGGATCGAGGCACTCACAAGGGAAGAGCTCATCCAGAGATGCAGATCACTGCTCTCTATTGCCCACAAGGCTAAAGTGGCAAAAGATGGTAAGCCCCATTACTGCAGAGATCGACTTATGGAAGTAGGGGTGAATAGAGGGCACTGTTTAACAGGTTAGCTATTACTTTGGCATATTATTTAGGTGGTCTTCTTTTGTTCATTGTATTTCTATAATTTTATTTAAGGGATATCTAGGGATGTGACTAGAAAGGGCTTTCAATTACCTCTGCATGACCTTTGCACTATGTAGGAGGATGATGTTTGTATTTTTGCAAGCAACCAAACATGCTTTGTAAAATGTGAACAGGCACCTAACTGTAGCTTCTCCAAATAGCATCAGGCATTCATGTTGAGTGCTGTAAAAATCTGGAAACAGCAACTTTACACAGCTATTCTGACATCTTATGGGTGCTGAGCAACTTCAGTTTGGGATTCAAACCAAGAATGGCATTACATGTGAAGGCCCGGCCCAGCCGAACTTTTGCGATTGGTGGACGCGGTGATGCGCTGTTTCAGCAAAATGCACAGCATGACTAGCACGCTTTGGCATCAACCCGATCTGAGGTGTCTTGAAATGCCTGTAGGTTTACATGCCCCTTACCCAGTGCAACTAGTGTCAATCGATTGTCATTCATGAGAGAAAGGGATCACATACCAAAGTCCACCGTTGTTTGCTTTCTATTCAATTCCACCAAATGCGATTTTTAAGAGGCTGTTGCCACCTGGCTATGGCATACTCCGAAGCAATCAGGTGCATGCATATTGATTCAAACGATCAAGCATGATTCCAGTGTTGTGCATCATGTTCAAGCTTTTAATATTTGTCTTGTGTGTAACCACTGATGAGGCCGAGGGACATTTTCCCGGCCACAGGATGTTTTCCTTCCTGGGTTGTAAAATTGGACATTCAGTTCCCACTCTGGTTTTTACTAGCAGTTTTGAATATGTTTAGTTAGGAACTCTATTTCAGATCAGAATGGACCCAAGAGATCTCTCGCCTGTCTATCTATGAGGCATGGCCAGACGAAGAGGGTCGGTTCTTTTTCATGTGATATTTCGGTGCCGAAAAACCAGGGCTCATTGCCTTTTTGCCTTTACAGGTAAATCTGGGGGTGCTCTCTTTGTGCTGCAATAACCATTTGAAATTGAAGCCTTAACAGGGGCCTCGAGGTGGGGTAGAATGTGGCAGTAGTACTGTCAACATGACAACACTATATTTCGTTGCACTACGACCAAAAAGAGCGCGAAAGTGACCATATTTAACTTGACACTTGTCGACATTAGCGCATCGCCCTTTTTCTTGCATGACATTAAAAACACGACCAAATAGAAATAGTGGAAAATCTTACTTCATGCATAAGACATCTTTATCGTTCGTTTCCAGATGCCGTAAAGCAAGCCGAGGTCCTCAGACAAGCGTTGATATCAAACGAGTCGTCTCAGGACGCCAATTTGCAAACACTCAAAGCTGAAAAGAATGATCTTGATGAACAGGTATGTGCATATCAGTGGCACTCCCGTGCTCTATTGTGTGTCACTTTCCGTGGTGGTATTGCCATTATCTCAATGGAACTGTAGGCTGTTGTGATTGGCCTTTGCTCCTGGTCAGGCACTGTGACCTTATTTTCTGTAGCTGCTGTGAATCTGTTCACACAGGTCTACTCCGTCGTGCTCTAGTATCTGTGATCTCGGACCCGCGCTGGCGTGCGTGGTCTCTGACCTGCCTTGGTGCATATGGTCCGTGACCTGTCTCTCACTCGCTGTCGGTGACCTGTCACTGTGCGGTCGGTGACCTGTCACGGGGTGGCCTGATGGATATTTCCCGCGATCTGCCCCGAGCGGGGTGATCAGTGGCGTCCCTGTCCTGATCCCCGCGGTCTCTGACTCGGCCTGGTGTGTGTGGTCGGGAACTTGTGGCGTATTCCCTCCTGTGCGATCACTGACGTTCCCGTCCTGTTCCGTGCGGTCTCCGACTCGGTCTGGTGTGTGTGGCCGTGAACCGGGATGTGTTCCCTTCATGTGTGGTCACTGACGTCTCTGTCCTGATTCCTGCGGTCTCTGACTCGGCCTGGTTCGTGTGGCCGGGACCTGTGATGTATTCCCTCCTGTGTGATCACTGACGTCCCTGTTCTGATCCCCGCCGTCTCTGACTCGGCCTGGTTCTTGTGATCGGGAACTTGTGGTGTATTCCCTCCTGTGTGATCACTGACGTTCCCGTCCTGTTCAGTGCAGTCTCCGACTCGGTCTGGTCGTGCGGTCGGGGACCTGCCGTCTGTTTTCTCCGACGTGTCAGGATCTGTTAGCTTTCTGGCCTAGCAGTCGCGTCCGTGTTAGCCGGTGACCTGCTGCCGGTACTGTGACCCGGCCTGACCCACCGCCCCGCGCCGCAGCTGTCGCGGCTGCAGAGCCAGCTGGAGGAGGCGGCGGCCGAGCGCCGGACGCTGCGGGCCGAGCTGGACGAGCGGGACACGGCCGCGGCCGGGCTGGAGCGCGCCAGCCGCCGGCTCGAGGCTGACAACGAGGCGCTGCTCGCCCGCCTCGAGCAGGCCGACCGCGAGCGGCGCGACGCCGAGGCGACGCTCGTGGCGCGCGCCGCCGCCGTCGAGGAGGACCTGCTGCCGTTCAAGCAGATGGCCGAGACGTTCAAGGTGCGCTGGCGCGAGGCTGTTGAGGAGCTGGCCGCGCTGCGCGCCCTGACGGAGCGAGGCGACGCCACACAGGCCGCCGCCTGCCAGACGGAGCCACCACCCGAGCGGGACGCGGACCGGGCCGCGGCCGCCGCCGACGGGCCGGAGGAAGGCGAGGCGGCGGCGGCCGGTCTGTCGCCGGGCGCCGTCTGGGAGCAGCTGCAGCAGGAGCGGGCCCGCGCCGAGCGGCTGGCGACCCAGCTCCAGGAGGAGGCCGAGGGCGGCGCCGCGCTGCGCGAGCGGCTGGCCGAACTCGGCGCCGGTCAGCAGGAGGAGGCGGCCCGCTGCGCGGCGCTGGAGCGGGCCAGCGCCGAGAGCGCGGCGCGCGTAGACGAGCAGGCGGGCCGCGAGGCGGAGCTGCAGCTGTCGTTGCGCCAGCTGCGGGAGGACAACGCGCGGCTGACGGCCGAGGCCGGCGGTCACCAGGCCGCCCTGGAGCGGATGGTCGCTGGCCTCGAGGAGGTGCGCCAGGGTCGCGCGGAGCTGGAGCGGCGCCTGGAGACAGAGCTCCGGCAGCGTGACCAGGCCGTGCGCCAGCTGGCTAGCCAGCTGACGGCGCTGGAGGTCGACGCGTCGAGCGCAGCCGCCGACGGTAGCGGAGAAGACGCCCCGGCACTCGAGAAGGCTCCAGGTGTCTGCGATGACACGACCGGAGACGTAACAGACGGACCACCGGACGGACCCGGAGACGCCGGTAGTCCCGGTGCCGTGGACTCGGCGCCGCTGTACGACGCCGAGGCGGAGCGGGCGGCCTGCCAGCGGACGCTCACGGCAGCGGCGGGCCGTCTGTCCGCGCTGACGGCCGCGCTGGAGACGGCCGCCGCGGGACGGGCGGACGCTGAGCTGGCGCTGGCGGCGCTGCAGACGGACAAGCTGGAGCTGCAGCAGCGCGGCGCCCAGCTGCTGGAGGAGATGAACGCCATGAACGAGACGTTGAAGGAGCGGGGCGGCGCCATCTCGCAGCTGGAGGAGCTGCTGGCGGTGGCGCGGCGCGAGACAGAACAGCGCCAGGAGACGCTGTCCGCGCTGGAGGCGGACAATGGCCGTCTGAAGGAGATGACAGATGCGGCGGAGAAAGAGAATGGGACGCTGAGAGAGGCGCTCGATGGTGTGCAGATTGAGAGCAGGAAAAAGGATCTTAAACTGGAGCAGCTGCAGAGTGCTGGAACAAGGGCAGATGACCTTGCATCAGAGAGGGACCAATTGGATGGACAAGTCTCTGCGCTGAATCGGACTATAGAAAACAACAAGGTGGAAATTAGTGAAATAATAGCACGCAGTGATGCCATGGAAAAGAAGGTGAATGGGTTAGAAGCGCAAATTAGTGAGTTAATTGAGCAGAACCATGCGTTCAAAACGAAGGCACATGAGTTGGAAGTTCAAGTAAATGAGCTAACCGAACAGAACGATGCGTTCAAGACGAAGGCACGTGACTTGGAAGTTCAAGCCAGTGAGCTAACCGAACAGAACGATGCGTTCAAGACGAAGGCACGTGAGTTGGAAGTTCAAGCCAATGAGCTAACCGAACAGAACGATGCGTTCAAGACGAAGGCACGTGAGTTGGAAGTTCAGGTAAATGAGCTAACCGAACAGAACGACTCTCTCAAAAAGGAAGCGCATGAGTTTGAAGTGCTTTGCACCGACTTGAAAGCTAGATCAGCTGACCAAGAGGAGCGGATTGGAGTTCTTCAGGCAAAGGCAAACGGTTTGGAAAGAGACAACAATGCATTTAACGATAATCGAGAGCAGCTAGTGAAAGAAACTGACGCAAAAGTGGCTGATTTAAACGCGCAGAACATGGCCCTCAAGTTCAAGATACAGGAGCTCGAAGAACAAGCAGAACATATTAAAATTAAAGCAATGGAGAATGGCGAACAGAACGGCATTCATGGACATTCCCTGGAGGCGTCCAAAGAGGGCAAGCGGTTAGATGCGGAAGCAGAAGATGGTGACGTAGGTGACGTCACTGTAGGGACTCACCTGGATGGTTCCGGTGAAGCGGTGACGGGAGAGGAGCCGTTGGAGGTGCAGCGGGTCGCGACCGTCTGCCAGCCGGCCCCGCGTGCGGCCGCGGAGGCGACTGACGCCGCAGCAGGTGTGGAGCACGGCGGCGCGCCGGAGGCGCGACAGGTGGAGCTGGAGACCGAGAACAGAGTGCTGCTGGCCCAGCTGGACGACGTGCAGCGCGAGAACAGATGCCTGATGTCGGAGCTGAATACGCTGAAGCTCAACAGCTCCGCCAGCACCCGGCTGGAGCAAGTTGAGGAGGAAAATCGGGCGCTGCAGGCCAAGCTGAAGGCCCAGGATGTTGCTGATGCGCGTCAAGACGGCTCGGAGGGGCTGTGCGCGAGTCTCAGCGATCCGCTGAACCGGCCCGCTGATCAGGAGCGCTGCGAGGAGGAGCTCCGTCTTCGTGTTCAATCCCTCCAGACCGAACTGGAGGAGGTTAGCGGGGAGCGGGACCGCCTCCAGTCGAGACTCGCTGAGGTTGAGGCGGAGATGCGCTCCAAGGAGGTGAAACAAGCGGACCTCGAAGCCCAAGTTTCCTCGCTGGAGAGACAATATTCGGTGGTGCGAGACGAGAATGAAACTCGTAAAGTCCAAGCACAAGAGCTAGAGAAACCGAACGATGCATTGCAGTCCCGCATTGAGAAACTCCAGGACGCGAATCACGCACTCGAGTCCAAGCTTCTTGAGCTGCGGGATCAGAAAGCTGCCGTCGATCGGCGGGAGGCGGAGGTTCTCGAGGAACGCGACGCCCTTAAGGAACTGCTGGCGCGGATGGAATCGGAGTTCGCGGACACTAAAAGATGCCTGGTGGAGGCAGAGGGAGAGAGCGGCTCTTTGCGGGGGAGAGTGGCGGAGCTGGAGTCGGAGCTGTTGGGCGTCCAGACGCGCCTAGCCGAGGCAGAGGAAGGGAGCGGTTCCCTGCGGGGCAGAGTGGCGGAGCTGGAGCTGGAGCTGTTGGCCGTCCAGACGCGTCTGACCGAGGCAGAGGGAGAGAGCGGTTCCCTGCGGGGCAGAGTGGCAGAGCTGGAGCCGGAGCTGTTGGCCGTCCAGGCGCGTCTGACCGAGGCAGAGGGAGAGAGCGGTTCCCTGCGGGGCAGAGTGGCGGAACTGGAGCCGGAGTTGTTGGCCGTCCAGGCGCGTCTGGCCGAGGCAGAGGGAGAGAGCGGCTCCCTGCGGGAGAGGGTGGCGGAGCTGGAGCCGGAACTGTTGGCCGTCCAGACGCGCCTGGCCGAGGCAGAGGGAGAGAGCGGTTCCCTGCGGGGCAGAGTGGCGGAACTGGAGCCGGAGCTGTTGGCCGTCCAGGCGCGTCTGGCCAAGGCAGAGGGAGAGAGCGGCTCCCTGCGGGAGAGGGTGGCAGAGCTGACCAATCGGCCGCCGCGCGCCGAAGACACCGAGAGCGGTTCGCTGCGAGTCAAAGCCGACGAGTCAGGCACCGGCTCCCGACTCGACCTGGTGAGTACTGGTTGGGCCGGTCATACTATGGTATAAACTCAATGTGTAGGCTCGTTTGCACCCGTGCAGTATGTACTGAGAATGTATGGTGATGCGTCCATGTCGACCGCTGCGCGGCCGTTATACATACCTGGGGATATACAGTGATGCTTTCGGTTTTATTGTTATATGTTGGAATTGTGCGCTGCATGGTGTGCATATATCACTGAATAATTGGTATCACAGAATGCTAAGAAGTGGAACATTTTCACAAGTGTCGTGGTGTTAAATTAATTCTGCTGGTTCTTTACCGAGGAAATGCCAACCCGCCTGACCTCACTGGAGCATTGTTGAAGTCTGGTGAACCGTATCATGTGTGCCGAGCTGTGTGTGCCGGGCGTTGTCTGAACCCAAGCTGTGTGCGCCGGGCACTGTCTGAACCCAAGCTGTGTGCGCAGGGCGCTGTCTGAACCCGAACTGCGTGTGCCGGGCGTTGTCTGGACCCGAACTGTGTGTTCCGTGCGCTGTCTGAACCCGAGCTGTGTGTGCTAGGCGCTGTCTGACCCCGAGCTGTGTGCGCCGGGCGCTGTCTCAACCCGAGCTGTGTGTGCCGGGCGCCGGGCGCTATTTGAACCCATGCCATGTGCTCGCCAGTCGGAGACACAGAGCGAGGCGCTGAGCACCAGCACAGCGCTCAGCCGGGCCGACGACCTGTCGCGCATGCGCGACGTGGAGGACAGCATCGAGGAACGCTACCACAAGGTGAGACGGGGAGGGGCTTGGTGACGTCACACCTGTGCAGGGGCACCACCGCAACACCCCCTGTCAAGTGTTGTTGGACCGTGGCGTCATCGGGAAGTCGGGAAGTGATCCGCACCTGCTCCTGGCGGAGATTGGAGTCTGCTTGTTCTGAGAGCACAGGGACTGAGCTTGATTCGTCGGGTTTTTAGTCACCTCCTGGCTTCACCGGCTGCTTCCAGTCCCAGTGTGGCGAGCACGACTGTGACGTAGCGACGCCAACTCGCGCTCGCTGCATAGTCGTGGCGCACGATATCGCGTGGTGCCGTGCGCTGGGTACACGTCCATCGACCACAACGGCGTGTCTCGCTCGCCGCAGCTGCGGGCGCTGGCCGTCAAGCTGAAGAAGAAGGTGGTGCAGCTGACCAACCAGAGCGCCGCCGAGGCGGAGGCGCGGCAGAAGGCGCAGGGCGAGCTCAGTCAGCTGACTGGCCAGCTGAGCACCAGCAAGAAGGAGGCGGCCGCGCTGCGCGTGCAGGCGCAGAACCTGCAGGTGGGCGGGGTGGCCTCCGTGGAGGAGGGTCGGGATGGGGGAGGGGAAGGACCGGAGGCTACACCGATGGCAGTCAGGCATGGTCGGGCACGAGCCGCCTACCCTGGCATTATGTATGGCGAGTCAGATCTTTCCGGCGCGTCTTGCTATTCGTGGTATTGTTTTTACCTGGCGTGGGCTATATCGTTGAAATATTGCTAGCTTGCCCTTGTTGGTCAGTACCCTTCACCATTTGGTTTACCTGTCGTTGTAGCCTGACCCGCCTCTGCCGACCTTGACCCAGTCGGATCCGGTGCCGCTGTGTACTCACCCCTCCTCGCCGCCTTGCGAGACGCTGGTGCCGCTCGTGACCTCCACATGTCTGCGCAGGCTCTGCAGGCCAGCTATGACCGGCTGCAGGATCAGGTCGACTCGCTGACCTCGTCCGACCGTGACCTGCGGAACGAGCTGACCCGGGCCGGCGAGCAGCTGAGCCAGCTCAAGCTTGAGCTGTGCGAGACGCAGGAGCTCAAGAGCGCCGCCGAGGCTCGCGCGCAGGTAAGCTGAGCAGGCGGAAACCAGGACACCTGGTTCCGGGGGACTTTGAGCCGCTTTGTTCCATCGGCGAATGTTTACGTCAAAACTTCAAACGCACAAGTCAAATTTGACGTCACAGCGTGGATGGTTGCGCTTGACGCTCGTGTGGGCATCGTCGATGTGAGCGCGCACGCTATCTTGCATTGCCGCGAATACTTTGACGCAAAGCTTCCGCGTGCTATCCTTCATGGGCTTCGTTTCGCGTTGGGGGTAGACCGTCAGCTGTAAACGCGGCAGCTCGGGCCCAGCGGCCGTTCGGTCCTTGCTCCCGCTCAGCCGCCGTCTCTCCTCCCAACGTGCTCGCCTGGCGGCCGTTTGGTCCTTGCTCCCGCTCAACCGTCGCATCTCCTCCCAACGTGCTCGCCCGGCGGCCGCCGTGCTCCGGTGGCCTGGTGACCGCTGACCGGCCGCGCCTCCGCCGCTGGCCAGTCGCTGACCGAGTCCGGGGCCGAGCTGGAGGCGCAGCTGGCGGCGGCGGCGGCGGAGCGGGCCGCCGCCGAGGCCGAGCGGAGCCGGCTGGACGGACGGCAGCGCGAGGCCGAGGCGCGGGCGGAGCGGGAGCGGCGTGACCGGCTGCAGCTGCAGGAGCGGCTGGACCAGGTGAGTAGCAGCTGCAGGGGCGGCTGGACCAGGTGCGTAGCAGCTGCAGGAGCGGCTGGACCAGGTGAGTAGCAGCTGCAGGAGTGGATTAGGTGAGTGGCAGCTGCAGGACTAGCGGCTGGACCAGGTGAGTAGCAACTGCAGGAGCAGCTGAACCAGGTGAGTAGCACCTGCAGGAGCAGTTGGATTAGATGAGTGACGGCTGTAGGAGCGGCTGGACCAGGTGAGGCACTGTGGCAGGAGTATCTGGAATAGGGGGTGGCAGCCACCACAACTTTCAGTTCCGCACCGTCACAATCATTTGCGTGTACCCTGTTGAGTCGTGATGTTCTATGAATTCGTTTGTCTGCCAAATGTGTTTTGTTACAAATGCACCCATCTGTGTCATATATGCACTCACTTTTAGGGTCCTTACGTAATGCATGTGCTACATGACTGAGGTTTTTAGTCCCGTCCCCTCGCAAGTAACCTAAGTGTCTGACTGTTCTCCATCAAATCGTTGTCGAGTTTTCATGACCGCATACGTTGCGCCGGGAGTGAGCCGCGGTCAGTCATTGCAGCCAGGGAACTGCTGCCCCAGCAACGCCCCCTGTCTGAGCCCGACGCCGTCCGGCAGCTGGAACTGGAGCGGGACCAGCGCTCTGCGGACGACCGCCAGCGCGAGCAGCTGCAGCTGTCGGCGGAGCAGCTGCGCGGCGAGCTGACTCACGCCCAGGCCGAGCTGGCCGAGGCGCGCCGGCAGCTGCAGCACCTGGGCGACGAGCATCAGACGGCCGAGCAACAGCTGCAGCTGGCCACCGAGGAGCTGCAGCTGGAGCAGGGACGCGTGGGACAGCTGAAGGTGCGACCCCGCCCTGACCGCACCCTGACCCTGACCTGACCTGACCTGACCTGACCTGACCTGACCTGACCTGACAGGCCCGCGCTGGTGCCCACGGTTGGCCGTGGACAGCGTGCTGCAGGCGGCTGCGGCTTCCGCTTACGACAGTGTGCGGAGAGTTGCGGGTCTGAACGGGACTTCTGGCCTAGTTCCATTCTATTTCACGCGGCAGTCGGAGTCGGTGATGACTAGTAATCATGTGAAGAGACGATCGAGCATAATTATTTTGTTGGCGGGTCTGATGGCGGTGGCGTGCCAGGCTGAAGACACGTGGTCGTTGGGGCGGGCGTCCCGCCGGCGCGCCCCGCCGCTGCACTGTCGAGCCTCGGTCACGGCCGGCCGGCGGCAGCCCCGCAGGGCCTGACAGGACCGGCCCCGTTTCAGGCCAGCCTGCGGGACGCCATGGCCAGCAGGGAGGCGCTCGAGGCGCGCGAGGTCGAGCGCCAGCGGGCGGCCGATGACCTCAAGCGCGACGTCGAGACACTGAAACAGGTACTGACGGGTGCCGGGCGGCGGTGCCGCGCCTGCGGGGGCGGGGGGGGGGGGGGGGCGTGAGCGGCCAGCGCTGCCCTGGCGTCGAGTTAAACAATTTGGATTCGGCTTGTGCTTCGCACGGTGGCGACTGACATGCTAGTGCGGGTAATCCACGTCAGCAGCCTGCTTTCAGGGATGCGGAGATTCAGCGCAGTCTGGTCCAAAGTAATGTTTGTGGGACATGGCAAGGATAAGTGATAGGGCGAGGCACAGCCGATGCTTTGGCTGCGACAGTCTCCGAGGGTTTCGCGCCATGATAATCAGGCATCAAAGGGCATTCTTGCTCCGCCAGTCCCCGGAAGATGGTGCTGTCCCGGGTCAGCTGTCCTATCCGTCCGTTCCGCGTGACGAGGCGTCCGGCCGGCCGGTGACACGGGTCTGACCCTCTCCCGGCGTCCGACAGGAGAAGGAGGCCCTGAACCTGGCGCTGTCCGAGGCCGCGCGCAGCTCCACCGGGCTCAGCCAGACGCAGAACGCCCTGCGGCGACAGGTACGCACCGGCCCGTGGGCCCGCCGCCACCGCCGCTGGGGCGGACTTACGGCTGGGCCGCGCCAGGTCGGCTCGAGGAAGCTGGCGACGGCTGACTGGGCAGGCCTCGTGTGGTCCCTCTGTGGTGGACGTCGCACCCATTGTCTCCGAACGGTTGCATATCTCGGCTCAGGGTGGACATCAGCAGTGCTGCACGGGGTAGGGGCGCGCGGTAATACAACGCACATGCTCCACCCCGATAACTCTGCTGTCCCCACACAACACCTGAGTCACACCTCGGATGAGTGTCAAGGCGGCGTCCGTGTCGTCACCGCTGTCATGCCGAGCGTGCCCATGCTCGCCTCATGTGCGCCACTGAGGGGCGCTGTTCGCACCGTCGCCGGCGCGGGGTGACCACGGCGTGACTCCGCCCGGTCAGGTGGAGGCCCTGGAGAGTCAGGTGACGTCGCTGCAGGACGCCCTGTCGACGGCGCGCGCCGACCAGGAGGCGCTGCGTCAGGAGTTCGACCAGTACAAGGTGAATGTGAGACGCCCAACTGGGCTCAGCAGTCCTAACCTGACGGTGACATTCTGGAATGACTCTTTCAGTGAAGACCGACAGTACGCTCGTCCGATTTGCACTGAATGTAATTGCAAAGAATGCTGTAAGGTTATTTCTTGGCTTATTTTGTTTGTGGAGCTGGTGTATGCAATTCGGTTTCATGTCATTGCACGTTGGTAATTCGTTGAATGTAATGCACTACACATTTTTGCTGTCACTACACATTAAACCAGTGGACAGGGCTGTTTGGAATTTACTTTTGGCAACCGCCATTCGTAAGAAAACGAATCGCCGATGTTTGGTACGCCCTCTGAGTTGGTGGGAGGCAGCGCTCCTCCCTCGAGGATTGGCTGGGAAGTTTTATCACGTGCTGAAATGTGACTGCAAAGCGACGTCTCACTCTGCTTCAACGCCACCTTCCCAGGACCGGTCCTTCACGGCCTTATGAGAGTGACCCGCTTCCCCAGGTGCGCGCCAAGGCCGTGTTGAAGAAGGCCCAAATGTCCAAGAAGGCGGAGGCGGACGAAGACGAGCGGGAGGCGCTGCGAAGTAAAGAGGAGAGGATCGAAGCTCTGCAGCGCGAGGTGGAGCAGCTCAGGTGCGACACCGGCGGTTCTCATGTCTGCCAGAGTGTGGCTCTCAAACGGGTGACATTTCTACGGTATTGTGTGCCGGAACTACGGCTATGAGTGAACTGTTTACTCACAAACCACTGGTTCGCGATGTTTTCCATGAATAGACGCGTGCGGATGCGGATGAACCTAAATCAGACCGACTAGAAATCGGCTCTGAATTGCGTTTTGAGCTGCGCCGTGGTCGTGTCGCAGTCCGATACCAGCGTGGGTCGTCCGTGTTCGGAGCACGTGTCGATGCTGTTCCTCTGTTGTGTCTCGACCGAGGCGGGCCCAGAGCCGGCCCCGAGGCTGTGTCGGAGTCGTGACACCGCGCCTGCGCCGTGGAGTGTACTGAGCGGCCGCTGTGCGCGCGCCTGCAGACAGGAGCGTCTGGCGGCGGCGGCGGAGCGAGACGCCCTGCAGGAGGAGCTGCGCCGGCTGGAGGAGCGCCACCACCGGCTGGCGGAGGACGCACGCCGCGCCGAGACGGGCTGGCGGCAGCAGGTGAGGCGGCGGCGGCGGCTGCGGCCGCTCCGGCGCCCTCGCCGGCGGCGGTCCGGTCAGGCACGGGCACGTGGCCTGTCACCGCCACACACGCACAGTCGCAGTCCTCTGGTCCCAGCGGCATAGGTCGCTAGGGTAGTGCTGTGACATTGACGACCACGAGTGCGCCAGTGGATGGAAAATGTAGCAATATTCCCTTAGTTTTCGTGTCAATGATGTGTACTAAAGGTCTGTCGGGAACGAAAGAGACACACTCGCCGGCGCGAGGTTTTGAAAAATGCACCTTATGACGTGAATGGCTACATTTCCATGTACCATTGGACCTGTCAGTAGCCCAAAAGTGCCGAGTTAGTGCCACGTGGTTGCTGATGCTGTGCTCACTAAAGGGAGCATGCGCTGTAGATGCCCCATGTTGGTAGGGACTGGGAGCTTCCCGAAAGGTGACTATCACATGGATGCCGTGTGTAGGTGTGTGGTTTTATTTGTATTGGGGGGGGGGGGGGGGGGGGGGCGAACTAATAGATCATAGATATCGACGTTAGTGCAGCAGCTGTATCAACGTCGATAGCAATGATGATTTATTGACAAGCGAAGAGCGAAGCGAGCAGCAGCTGTCCGCTTGGCCTTGAAGGCAGTCCGGCGGTGACGTGTGCGCCTCTCCGGCCGCAGTTCGAGAAGGCGCGCTCGGAGCTGACGAAGAGGGCGGAGCAGCAGGAGGAGACGATCCGGGCGCTGAGACTGCAGCTGAGCAGCGCCGAGACCAGCCAGACGGTACGACAGGCGGGCCGGGGCACGCGGCAGCGGCCGGCACGGCACGGTGCCGACCAAGCGTCCACCACTTGGGGGCGGAGCAATGGTGTCGGTATTTGACGTGGTATGGGACCTCCGACTCTTCCTATGGCACTGCCCGTCGCTCCTCCCCTCGCCCAAGATCGGCCAATCAGCATCGAGTCGGGGGACGGTAAATCCAGAAGCGAAGCGCCTCGCACGTGACAAAGCGGCAGAGCAGTTCAGCTGTCAGGGTTCAGGGCCGAAGGTCACTGGGTTGGCAGCCACGGAAACGTGTGTGTGGGTGAGGGGCATCTGGAAGCCAGAAGTCTAATGGCATGGATTTGCACCTGCACTCTGCACACTGAACTAGACGAAGGTGAGGGCGTTGTACGAGCTTGTGAGGGAATGACGCCCGTGGAGCCATGGTTTAGTGCGTTCCCCCCGACCTGCGTGAGTGTGACTGTTGTAGTGCGCTCGCCAGCATTGGAAACATTTCGTGGCATCTGTCATGCCAATTATGGATGCACTTTGCGGCATAGAGTTTCCACGGCAGATTAGCTGAGTGCCTTTGGCTGACCCCGCCGCTCCGTGTGGCAGACGCAGGAGCAGCTGCAGTCGGTGAAGACCCGTCTGACCGAGGAAGTCAGCTCGCTGAGGGCCGAACTCCGCGACCGTCAGGACGAGCTCGCCACGCTGCGCCGCGCCGCCAAGGGCCACCAGGCGCACCACAAGCTGCCGCCATCGCCGATAGATGTCACCAGTATGGAGCGAGAGGCGGCTGAGGTGAGCGGAGAACCGGTCGGCTTTCGTTCACCTGCGCCCACCGCATTTGCGAACTCGGACCAGGCTGTTGTTAGTCGATCTGTGCGTCGTTCTGACTGGTTCATTGCTGGATCGTTTGGTACTAAATTCATGCATTGTCAAGCCATCCAGCCTTCTCATGCCATTCCACTGACGGGCGCGCTGACCGCCATCTCCTCCCAATCCCCGTGGTCTACAGGCGTGAGTCGTCGGCTTCGGCGGCCCCTGGTGAGCAGCTGTAGGCCGCGCCGTCCGTGGCCGACCGCCGGTCTGTCGGAGCTCTGACGCCGTCAGACCTAGCGACGTGTCGGCGGCGGTGGCGCCCCGCCAGAGCTCTGACCGCTCCCTTCCGTGCCGCCAGGGCTCAGAGAACGTGACGCCGCAGCCGGCGCCGGCGCGCGACGCCGACTTCGTGCCGCTTGAGAGGCTACTGAGCTCTGCCGACGACTCGGCCAGTGAGTGACGCACCGGCGGCGGGCCGCTCCGATCGCGCTCCGCCGCCGGGCCGGGTGTCGGCGCCGCCGACCAGCGTCGTGCGGCGCGACGGGCGCCGTGTTTGTGGATATTGAACGTTTGAGACAAGTGGCTAACCCAGTGACCTGTCCTGTCTGTCGGGCCGACCCAGTGACCTGTCCGACCCGGTAACCTGTCTTACCAGGATCATCTGTCCGACCCAGTGGTCTGCCCGATCCAGTGACCTGTCCGACCCAGTGACCTACCCGACGTGGTGACCTGTTCGACCAGGTCGCCTGTCCCGCCATGTGACCCGTCCGACCCGGTGACCTGTCCCACCCAATGACCTGTCAAACCCAGCGACCTGTTCGACCAGGTGACCTGTCCCACCAGATGACCTTTCCGACCCAGTCGCCTGTCCCACCCAGCGACCTGTCCCGCCCGGTGACCTGTCCGACACGCGGCGTGTCGATGAATCGGCAGCGCCTCTGACCATGTCTGTTCTGGCGACACACGTGATCCCCTAACCGACCCCGTCCCGCAAGTGCTCAGTGTGTGGCGTGTGCCCCCTTGCCCGATCTCCCGCCGGCGTGCTGCCCCGCCGCGCAGCCGTCTCCGCGCCGTCTGTGACACCGCGTCTGAGCGTCGCGCCCGGTCCAACAGGTACGGTCAGCCACGCCACGGAGCTGACGTCGACGGAGCGGGACCGGCTGGTGGCCGTCGAGGGCGAGCTGGCCGCCAGCCGCCTCACCGAGCAGCACCTCTCAGCCCTGCTCAACGAGTCGGAGGCCGGCAATGCCAAGCTGACGCAGGTGGGCTCGCCGGCGGCCCGGGGAGGGGGGCGGCCGTCCGGTGCGATCGGCGCCGCCGGGCGCTCGGCTCTCTGCTCTGCCGCGGAGGGGAGCGGCCGTCCGGTGCGATCGGCGCCGCCGGGCGCTCGGCTCGCCGCGGCCGGGGAGGGGAGCGGCCGTCCGGTGCGATCGGCGCCGCCGGGTGCTCGGCTCGCTGCTCTGCCGGGGAGGGGAGCGGCCGTCCGGTGCGATCGGCGCCGCCGGGCGCTCGGCTCGCTGCTCTGCCGCGGAGGGGAGCGGCCAGTCCGGTGCGATCGGCGCCGCCGGGCGCTCGGCTCGCTGCTCTGCCGCGGAGGGGAGCGGCCGTCCGGTGCGATCGGCGCCGCCGGGCGCTCGGCTCGCTGCTCTGCCGGGGAGGGGAGCGGCCGTCCGGTGCGATCGGCGCCGCCGGGCGCTCGGCTCGCTGCTCTGCCGGCGGGTGGCGCGGGGCGAGGCCGTGCTGACGGCCTGTCTGTTGTGCGGTGCTGTGTACTGGTGGGTGGTCAGTTGGGTCAGGTGAGCGTGACTGATGACTGTTCGAGCGAGGTCGGCTGCCCGAGTTGTGATGGGATGGACAACGACGGACTGTGCGCGGCTTTATCGGCCGGGGCAGCAGCCAGCTGACGTGTGTCGGTTCTGCCGACAGCTGTGTGACGCGCTGAAGGAGGAGATCCGCCGCTCGGAGCGCTCCGAGGAGCGGCAGAAACACCTCAACCAGATGGAGTACCTCAAGAACATCATCGTCAAGGTGCGTGCCTCGGCTGTGCAGCGCCTCCGTACCTCCGTACCAAGGCGCCAGCCCCTCCGCCTGCGCTGTGTTACTGTCGGCGCCGTGTGTCCCTGAAGTCGGCTTTGTTCTAGTGCCGTCCACGTGACCTGGCGCCCCGCCTCTCCAGTTCCTGACGCTGAAGGAGGGTGACGAGCGGAGCCGCCTGGTGCCCGTGCTGTCCACCATGCTGCGCCTCAGTCCGCAGGAGGTCACGCAGATCACTCAGGTGGCTGCCGGTGAGTGGTCCGCGCGCCGTCGTCAGTCCGCTTCAGCGGCTCAAGCCAGCGACGCAACGCAGAAGGTGGAGGCGTGCGTTCTGGACCGCGCTCGTAACAGGGCCAGAAATAATACATTCTATGCCATTTTGCAATCGTTTGCAGCGCGCTAGCTACTTAAACTTTTGTTTCTTTCGTGGAGGAAATTGTTAGCCGTTTCTGGCCTGTCTTTCTGTCAGTCATTTGCCACTCACTGTGTTATGTCTCACACTTGGTGTCACTGTCATTTGTGTCATCGGCCCATTCGTCGGCTAACGACCCAGTCCTCTACTGTACGGCACGTGCGGCCGCGGCCAAGCGTGTGTCGCAGCACTGACACGGCTCGACTGACGGCGACAGGCGAGGCTGCTGGAGCGGGCGGCGGCAGGGACCAGGGCTGGGCCAGCTACCTGCACCTGTGGTCTGGCGGCCCCCAGTGAAGGGCCGGCCCGCGACCGAGCCGCCCGAACGCCGCACCTGCGCCGGCAGCAGCGGCGTGCTGGGTCAGGGCCGCACCGGGTCTCCAGCAGGGGTGGCCATGAGGGCGCCGGCAGCTGCGCGTGCGCGTGTTGGTCTGACGACAGAACGCGACGCTGACCCTAGCGTGGGTCGGTGGGCGGGACCAGTGGCGAGCGGTGACCCACGACGCTGACCCGTGCGCGGGTCGGTGGACGGGTCTGTGGTGAGCGGTGACCCACGACGCTGACCCGTGCGCGGGTCGGTGAGCAGGCCAGTGGTGAGCGGTGACCCACGACGCTGACCCGTGCGCGGGTCGGTGGAGGGGTCTGTGGTGAGCGGTGACCCACGACGCTGACCCGCCGTGGCGCCACCGCCGCGGGAGGCGGGGCTCGCCTCAGAGAGAGCTCCGCTCGCCCCGTGGACAGCGTGGTGACGTCTGCCGCGGCCGGGCCGGCGGCGTCGCGGCGGCCGCCACGCTGGAGGTGCCTTACGTGCTGTGATAGGCAGTTTGTTACGCGAGGGTGGGAGCTAGCCGGCGGTTCAGCGACGGACGCATGGACGCCGCCGGGCGCTGGCCTCGGTTGCCATGACGACAGTGATGTATACAGGGACAGAGGCGGCGCGCTCTTTCCCGACGTGCATTTGAAGCAGGAATGGCCTCAGCTTGTTGTGGCCGCGTTTGCAGGGCACGGGTATGATCTATATGTTGTTTGTTCTTGGGAAAGCGAGACGGACTGATACTTGTTGAGCGGTTTCTATCTAAAGAGATTCTCCGACCACGGGCTTTATTTCCAAAGTTCACTGTTACCCTGACATTTGGTTTCATTTGTTGTGGCTTATTGGTTCCGAGGTGTTCAGGTGCTTGTTACTGTTACGTCACGTTTATTCATGTAATCGCATGGTTGTGAAGTCCGTCAAATTTCGTGTGTGTATATGTATATTACACCGATGACAGCGCGGCTCATAGCAGTAAAGCTCTTGTCGCATATCTCCAGTCTTTTGATCACATCCTTGTGGCCGAGGGTCCCGACCATAACTTGTAGCAATGGGGACACAACTACTGTTGGCTTAGGTACACGCTTTATCAGCTGAATAAACTGTATACGCCGAAAGTGTTTTTCCGTACGTGTTTTTACGTGTCTCGCACTGGTCGTTCCCCACGTCGCCAACACTAATGCCTGTGGTGCTCCACCCAGCTGCGCTGATTTTGCTTACTAAATTGTAGGTCTTGGATTCTGTCCGTTCCTGGGGCACCGCCAAAACTTTACGGGCATATGAGCCTACCCGCACTTCATGGATCGTATTGACCCAGTCATTTCCCGGATCCCCACCAGATTCGTGTGGCCCTGCCAGCTTAAATTTAGAATATCATGAAACAGCTGCGCTCGTGGTTCCTGATGCCTTCCTTCAACATTGTGTCTTCGGATTCATATGACAGCACCTCATCATCGGAAATAATGTGATGAAGGTGGCACTGATTGGCTCAAAGTTTGCCGAATGATTTTTGTGATGAGCTTACGAGTGCGAGTACCGAGTCATTTTCATAGCCCTTTCATAATTCCATAAATGTTGATTGGTTAGCTGGAGGCCGGGACTGTATTGTTCATCTTGGTGGAAAACTGGATGTTTGTCTGCAGGCGTGCGTGCGCTCGATCAGGTCGGCTTGGAATTCACTGCGCGGCGCTAAAATGTCGCGTGGCTTTCAATGCGGTTCGAGATGTGGATGTGTGAAACACCCGTCCCAGGCAAAAAAAAAAAAAACGTGATCGTGTGTACATGCCACCATGTTCATGTATTATTCACTCATGGATGACTTATTCCGTGGCAACAACCGCACGTTGGGAAGCGATTGGATCCCACCGCGTCTTCACGCACACCTCCCGATGAGTGGACGCTGCAGTTTGGGTGCTGAGTGCGGTGCATCGACGCGCACGACTGGAGAGACGGACGAGTGGTCTATGGCGAGCTATCACGCGGAGACGGGCCTCCGTTTGCCGGGGTTGGAACACATACCAGTCTCGCTGCCCGCCTGCGGAGACGTCGACTGTCCGGTCCCCATCCGCACCTCCTCACCGGGCGGCGGGGCGCGGGGCAGGCGGCGGCGCCGACCCACCGCCGGCGGGCGCGCGGGCCGGCGGACGCACAGACTTTCGGCGCCGGTCCTGCGGACGCGACAGAGGTAGTCGCGCGGACTACGCAGAGACAGTCACACAGGCTTCGCAGAGACAGTCACGCATACTCCGCGGAGTCACGCAGACTGCACAGTCACGTAGACTCCTCAGAGCCAGTAACGCGGACTGCAGACAGCCACACAGACCCTACGGCGGCGGCTGCGCAGACTCTACGGCGGCGGCTGCGCAGACTACATCTGCATACCGTTCACGGTCACCGGCCTGCTGACGCCATCCGGCGCCCCTTCGGCCGGACGGACGCCGTTCACGTTGGTCGCGCTCGCGTCGCCCGCCGCGGGCACGCGCGCCGCTTTCGAGTCACCCGCGCCACTGTCCTGCACAGTCCCGTTTTGGTAGGTGGCGTTCGCGTCGCCAGTCTCGTTCTGATAGGCGGCGTTGAGATGGCCCGCTCCGTTCTGATTGTCCACGCTCGCCCCGCCACCGCCGTTGTGACAGGTGGCGCCCGCGTCGCCACCGCCGTTGTGATAGGTGGCGCCCGCGTCGCCCGCGCCATTCTGATACACGTCGCCCGGACCGCCGAGCTTGTTTCCGTAACCGCTGTGCTGGAGCCCGTTGACGTAGGTGGCGTCCTGGTTGGCGTAGGTGCGCTCCGGCACGTCCGACGTGAAGCTGTCCGGCCCTGAGGAGAAGCTGTCGGCCTCGGCGTAGATGGCCTCCTCGTCGGGCCGCGAGGGCAGCGGGCGCGCCTGCAGCGCCGTCGGCTGCCCGTCCACCGGGCTTGAGTAGCCGGGAAGGCTGGTGACCGGCCCGCTCCGGACCGCCAGCGTCTTCATGCCGTGCGCGCTCTCCTGCTTCATGACCTCCCGACGCCTGCCGTGAGGGAGGGGGATGTTGGAAAAGGTAGACGCCGACGGCAGCAACTTCATGGTCGTATGCAAATGAATCTGGGCAACGGGTTGGGATCGTGACTAAAGTATGACAGCGAAAATAGCACAACCATTCTCAATATACCTCTGCCGTAAACGTCCCCTTGCAGCCACACAGACTGAACGTATCTCGCGACAAATCATCGTGCATTCGTGTTTCTTATTTCCGTCACCCTCCATGTTCTGAACATGACTGTCAAGCAGCTGACGGCAACGAGCAACCGCGGACCCAGCCGGCTGACAGCCCTGGCGGCCGCGGACCTAGCCGGGTGGCAGCCAATGCAGCCGTGGATCCAGCCGGCCGACAGCCCCAGCGGCTGCGGACCCGGCCGGCTGACAGCCCTAGCGGCCGCGGACGTCATGCATCCCTGCGGCTCACATTCGGAAGCAGTAGGCGGCGGCGAGCGCGGCCAGCGTCAGGAAGACGAGGACGGCGGCGCCGGTCCAGGCGGCCGTGGTACGCCGGGCCGCTGACGCGTCCTCGTGCCCGGCGGCTGGACCCGCCCGCCCTGCCGCGCCCTCAGTCTGGCTCGTCTCCAGCCCCACCGCCGCCCCCGCCGGTGGCGGCACTGCAGATGTCTGGTTCTTCACTGTCAGGTGGCATGTAGGAGTTAGAGCGCGGTGGCGTGCGGGCGGTGACCTTGCCGCAGGAGGGCGCTGAAGCACAAGCTCACGGCTGCTCTTTTTTCTGTCACGGACCTCCAGCATTCATCTCTAATCAGCGACGACATCGCTACTTCACAGTCCTCCGCACAGCAACACTAATTTCGTGACCTCTAGTAAGAACGACACTCTGAGGTTGTAGATGTGGGTGCAATGTGCAATATGCAGGTGTCATCTGATGGAGGTACCGAGCACGACTCACGGACGCAGGTGGTGGTCTCCCCGGACCAGCGGCCCGTCTCGGTGCAGCGGCGCCGGAACGGTCCGCGCCGCTCGTGGCCGGGGAAGCAGTGGTGCTCCACCAGGGAGTCGTACTCCGTGCTCTGGTTCACCAGGTACAGGCGGCCGTTCTCCACGGCCGGCACCGGACCGCAGTCCACCCCTGCGGAGAGCGAGCTGGTGGGGGGTCATCCGGCCGGGTGATCATCGTATCACGAGCAGAACCACTTCACAGAGGCATGGAGGACCACTGGACGAGGTCACCAGGTCACTGGGAGCAGGCTGTGTGTAGACCTTAGCCACAGAAGGTCTACATGCGGCCTGTTCCATCCTGCCCTCGGCTCCGCCGCAGACACGACGTAGAGTCAGGAGTTCCCCATTTATTTCCAGTTCGAGCTGCGTGCGGCACTGGGCGTGCAGTTCGGCCGCCAGCTCGTCCCGACTCACACTGGCAGGAGGGCGTGGTGCCGCTCCACTCTCCGTTGTTCTGGCACGTGCGGACGCTGTCACCAACCGTCCGGCGCCCCAGGCCGCAGCGGTACTGGGCCGTGTCGCCCACGCGGTGGCCAGAGGTCACCACGGAGAGCGTGGCATCCGGACGCTCCAGCTCCCCGCAGGCCACCTCTGCGGCACGGAGAGGCAGGTCACGCGTCGTCAGGTCAGCGACCTCACTCGGCCATACCGCACCATACGCAGCAGGTCAGTAAACACTCTGCAGGTGTGCATGTCGTCATAAGGGGATGGTCAACCGCACCGACGGCGTTTCGCACTGGTGCATGTCTGTTTATTTGGCTAGTTACCTTAGAGCCTTTTTGATCAGTAATGCCCATTTCAGGTCTATGGGATAAGGGAGAATGGAGAACGGTGGGGTGTGCGGGGGGGAGGGGGACTGCATGCACCTGGGGCTCAACCGCCGAGGTTTAGCCCGTGCAGGGACCACCCCGCGGGGCACATGCTTGCTGCTCGGACGGGGGCCCTCACCACGAGCCACTTGGGCCCGTTCATGGCTGACGCAATATCCAGCCCGTAAGTGATGGTCGGGACTATGCAGAATACAGCGGGAAGTAAGGTAAAACGGCGGATGGTGGATGTCTATGAAAGTTTCAAAAAAGACTCTGATACGTTTGCCACTTCTACGCAGCCATGGCAGTGGGCTGGAGATGGCCGGCAATTTTACGTGCGGAGAGCTGCGCATGCCAAACAGCTAAATTTGGAGCTATGCCTGTCCCTCGGTGTGTGCACATTTCTTAGTCAGGCAAGCAGCACAGACGGCGGTGTGGACTAACGTGACATTTGCACATACGGCGGGCTCAACGTTCGTGATGACCTTGGATATAATTTCACGCTCAGCTGATGCCAGTGTGGGGCGCAGTGCGCCCTAGGGGAGAGCACGTTTTGGCATTTAGCAAGGAGACACTTTTCGTATATGTAGGGGAAACAAGGTATGAAAAGGCCGAACTGTCTAGAACGCAGACGACTGTCAATTAACACAAGTGTTGGAAGGGAAGCACAGCGTATCCAAGACACACTGCGCATGAGTCAGATGTAAATCAAGGTTACGCGGCTGAAGGTGGTGCTGTACCTACACCATCGCCGCCCACTATTAGCATGCTGAAGCAAGGGGGAACCACAACAAAATGTCTTTTCGATGTCCTGAGCGCGTGGAACAGCGCCGCGTACCGTGTGACGTTTACACGGGCACCGTGTCCGAATAATCGATGAGTGTCAAACAGCTGATAGGGTGCCAACCGAGATCCACGTCTTATTGCTGGGTCACGGA